CCGGGCCCCCCCCCCCCCCCCCCCCTTTTTTTAGTTCGTTGCATTGGAGGTCTTTTTGGTCTGCAACTGGACCGTTACCATTTTACTCCGGCTTGGCTGAGCTTGAATGAAAAGCCGGAAAACTGGGAACTGACTATCTGTCGAACCTTCAAATGTTGCCAAGATGCGAGCGACACTCTCCCTGATTTCGAGTCTGGCAGAATTCAGAGCATGGAGGGGAGAATTTGAGAGAGCTTTGTAGCACTGAATTCGTTACGGCCTGTCATGCCAAATGCACTCGACTTCCTCCCTAGATCGCAGTCGTCGCAATTTGAGCCTCGGCCAACATAAATGATGTCGGCTACAGTTTGCAGCCCGATTTGATTGGGTCTTTGATCTGGTAACTTCCGAGCCGATGAGTCCGATACCGTCATGAGTTTCCCACGAATGCCCAAGCCTGACCCCGATTAACAAAGCGGCCCAACCCGTGGATAGAAGCTCCCCATATCCGAGCGCCCCACGACGCACAACTACCCTGCCTCACAGCCTAACAGAGGAATCGCAGTTGACCGCTTCACATTAATGCCATCTAGGGCGTCGACACGTTTTAAACCAATCGGCTGTGGGTTATGGAAAGAAACCGATGTGTTGTCGTGGACTCCGTGGACAGTAGCTCAAGATGTCATAGGCGTAGTCCTAGCATTTTGCTGCATCCAGAAACCTTGTGAAGACGAGGCTCTTAGCAGGTCCACGGATCTGGGGCGAGGAAAATATTGACAGCTGTAGTTTAAATTCATCATGTTTTCTCACGATGCTTTCTGTTAGGGCTTTCAAAGCGTCACTACTATGCAAAACATAAATTGGCTGTATAACATTTGGCATGCGCCTGTCCTGAGATCCAAACGTTACTACTGTTTTACTTTAGCTGTCGCTTGCACCTACATCTACAATGGCACCCACTGTTGCAAATATTGATGCCCAATATACCTCACTCATTGCGCTGAACGGTGTGTATCAGCATCGTTCCGTGGCCATGACTTACAATAATAATTTGCCTTGCACTTCAGGATCCTTTACTCAGACCGACTTCGAGGCACGGGCCAAGAAAGCAAGTGTCAATTGCTCCAACAAACGACAGTCTTCATCAAACGTCGAACGCCGGAGGTTCGACTCGGCTTCAGGGGTCCAGCAGAAGGAGGACATCAGTAGGGATATACGTGGCATAGGAGAATGGACGAATTTATAGACCTACCACCGGCCCGGTCTTCACGCTCTTTAGCTGACCTATACCGCATACTCAAATTGGGTTATGCAGAAGAGGCTGTAACGTCTCATTATGTGGAAACATATCTTTTCTTTAATCTTCAAATTCCCAAAATGAACCTATTCAGTTTTGAATGAGCCGTGTGACCGAGAAATGAATTCAGTCTTAGCTTCCTGGTTATCGTGATGACTAAGGCGCGACGAGGAATGAAGATGCATGTGGGCCCATCCAGCCAATCGGTAGCATGAAGACACGACTCAGTGGTTGCATGTTTCTCAATGTGAGATCAAGTTTAATGATTGGTAACCGATACTGCACCACAGCGTGACTGATATAGCTAGCCAAACTTGAGCCTTTATACTTACAGAGAACGTTTGTTTTACTTCATATTCTTTTTTGTGTTCATATCTTGTGCTGCGCCAATCCATCCCCCACTCCATCATTTCCGCGCCAGAAATAGGCGGTTGACGGCGCCTACTAGCTTTCTTCAAAACCAAGAGGTGTAAGTCATTACACAAAATTCTGTTTTATATCTACTGATGCTTCTAATTACATTCACTTATATTGTCCGAGGCACTAATTCAGCGCGTCGCGATAAGTTATGCCGCCCGCAGCGGTCAGGATAGCGAGGAGAGCAACGATAGCAAAAAGGATTTGCATCTCTAGGAGCTCTTCGGCCAAACCTCTCGGAAATCCTGCAATATTCCATACCATCTGGTAGCCAATCCTGAAGGTGATGGTGCAGCTCGCAACGCGAAATGATACACCACCGGCAGTAGAAGGGTCCACTTGGTTTGAGTAACTCGGTCACGAAGCCCTGTGGTTTTCCCATGCTGGCACGAGTAAGTGGCTGGTCAAGCCGCCATGCCCATTCCAGGTCGTTGGGTCCTTGTCGCTGCACCGATAGCGGAATGTTGTTGTACATGCGTTGATAGACAATATAGAAACGTTTGGACGCCAGGCCGAGGCATGTACTATCGATCTCATCCAGGAACTGGAAGATAGAATAGTGCAGTTCCGGGGGAAGATGCAGGAGTTCCACCCGTGCCTTGGTTGCTTCGATAGACTGGTAGTGCGCTCCTGAACATGCCCGCCGCATCCTTGGTGAGTTATACCTCCGTGATGCTTGGTGATCTCGCGTCGCCAGCGTCGCTTGACTAGAAGAAATGGAACGGCGCATGCTCATAGGTAAGGTCAAACCTGGGCAAGGATAATTCACCTTACATGCAGATTCTCTACTTAGCTATCGAAGTTAGCCATGGTGTGATATGAGGGTTCCGAGCAGCGAGATCTTATATATGGAGATCATTTCGTAAATCTCTTGACTGATTAGTCCGACTTTCACTTAATGATTATGGCTAATATTGAGCTTTATGCAGTTACTCGCTAGGAATACAAAAGAGCTCAGAATGATTCAGTCAGACTCAGAAAGCTCATCAGCAAGGATATGGCCTCTATTCATGGTGTGGGCTCTATTGAGTAAGGCCTAAAGGCTGTCCCATATACATATGCCTCTCTGACAATCTCATTGAAGTAGAGTGGGTATACTCCCGACTATCATGAGAGAGTGTCGAAGATATGACGTCTTGGCAGGTCTAGACTTGCTGTGGAATCATAAACAAGACAGTATGACTGATGGTCCTGAGGTATTTTCTTGCTTGTTCCCCAATATTCTTCAGCCCGATTAGATAGGAGGCTTCATTACATCCAAACACTGTATCTCAAAAAACCAATGAAGTCATGGTGGAGTTAATCAAAAGCAGAACAGGGGCACTCTGATATAGAGTTGACGATTTACGCTGGCGATGCGCATAACTGCAGTGCAGGTTATTATCCAGGAACAGACTATGCAGCAAAACGGAAGAAGTCAGAGACCTACAACGAAGCCAACTGCTTGAAATGACCCCTGACGTCATTTGACACCATGTCTTGTCAAAACGTGTCGTCGCTCCGGGGGTCGAGTGGTCCTCCGCTCAATAGCTGACCGGCCGGGATTCATACACACTGTTCCACAGCACGACAAACCTCCTCACTGATTTGGTAACACCAGCATACATCTGTGCCTGAAGGCAAACATAGATCTTCACTGTCTGTCCATGAAATCCCTCAGTCTAGACCTAGGAAACCCGAATTTGGAATCACGGTCACGACCAGGGGGGCTTTCGTACCTAAAATAATAACGTTTTGTTTATACTCCTAGCACCCCCCACCAATGCCCCTACTTTTTGACCAATATGTTACTTGTACTTGCAACAGGCTTCGCCGCAGAGACATTTCTTGTCCAGCCCTCTCCAGTACTTGTCCGAATAATCAACCGTAACCTCAGCGCCGGCCTCTATCCCCTTGCTAACCAAAATGATCCGCTGTGTATTCAACCAAGTGAAGCGCTGATATTGGGCGTTCGCCTTGCAACTGTGGTTGACGAAACGAGTAAAATTGCCCTGCTGCCCCTGCCAGATCTGATATTTCTCCAATCGAGTAGAGCTTTCCAAAACGTCAACATCTTGAAAGCCTTTGGTGATGAGACCCACGAACTCGCCAACAGGAGATCCACGCTCAAAAGGACAGAGCGCAATCACGCCGTTGTTCCGGCCGTTCGGAGTGTGATATATCAGCACCGGGCTGGGGCTCGTCTTGGCACATCCGAATAGTGTCGGGAAGCAGTAGCAGCTATTCTGGATGGGATCGTCGGACTGTTGTTTACCGCACACCTCGCAAAGTGGCATTGCTGCTCCTCTGATGATGGCGTCCAATGGAGGAGTCCACCGTGGGTCGTCGCATCCCCATGCTGTCTGATCCACAATGCTCTCGTCTACCTGTCTGTAAGAGAAGTCGGGGTCCCACTGCATATATGTTGTTTGCAGGGGCACGGGAGGCGAACCGTCGAGAAAAACAACCCAGTCGTGGGGGTGTTCCGTGTAGACTTGTTGCGTGGACTCGCCTACTACCCCAAGTAGGTACCTCCAGCCAGGATGCAGAGTGTCGGCAGCCACCTCGAATAACGGTCGCAAAGTTCGCAAACGCTGCATGCTGTCTTCGCCGAAACCGATGCGATACTTCGAGAATCTGTAGATTCCCATACCAGAAAACACCAAAGCGGCCCAGCCGCCGGCATCCTTGATATCTTTGTACCCCCGCCAGATGTACATCTTATTGCGAAGTTCCTTCTCGGTCCATCCAAAGTCGAAACAAGCCTCCGAGAGAGCAGCTTTGTTGTGTTTCGTACGGGGCACGATTGGGTTTGTGAGTGCGCAGGAGTCAACATATTCGTTGAAGTACTCGACCCAGCGTGCTTGTACCACGATCTCGAGGGACCTGCATGTTCGACTTGCTTGGGTTACCTGCCGGCAGAGTGTATTCATGCGGTTGAACGAGCCTCCTGCAGCCGGCTGAGCGATGTATTGGTTGCCGTGGCGAACGTGACCCATATCAAGCACAGTTCCGCCATAACTGGGGTGAGGAGCTTCCACGTGGAGGAAGTCTAGATAGCCTTGAGGTTCCAGGTTGACATTGCGGTAGATTTGCTCCCAGATACCGATGATGAGCTTATCCAAAGTTGACGGCTGGAGTGAATGGCCCGGGGGCTTCATTGCGCGGCGCTTGGGGAACTTGTCACCACTCTGGATCTGTCGTCCGCTGGTTCCCTCCGTCTCAGTAGGAATCGAGAGTGCTCGGGCTGGACGTAGGCCGCCCAGACCCTGGCGGCCCATGTTGTCGGGTACAGGCGGCGTAGGAGTTGAAGTGTCGGACTCATAATCACTATCCGCGGGTGATGACCTCAGAGACATTGGCGAGATGGGGCCTGATGCACCCTGCATGTCGCTTTGTTCAAGAACTTGGTCATCTGGTAAGATGATTCCGGCAACCTGCTGCTGCTCGTGAGAGATGATGCCGCCTCCAAACGGCGATGCATTGTAATACTGTGAAGAGGAGGACTGCTGCTGTGATATTTCGGACAGGTCGACCGAGTGCTGTGTAGGCAGCCGGTCAGTTTCTCTTGCAACGCCCAGCAACAGAACGGGGTTGGTCTCTTACCGAAAACAGCAGGTCATGGGGAGTTTCTTCTCGCTCCGTCTTTGATGAACGCTCTTCCAGGCGCGCTTCAATATGTATCACCGGGTGCCTGAGATGCTGAAAATCGGGCGAGTTCATGAACTCCTTGGTTAGCTGTTCGGCGAGCGACCGAGTAACATGGTCCTGAAGAACGTCGAGCAGAGTCCCGGTCATGGAGCCGGGCGCCATGACAGAAGTCGCATCCGGGTCAGCGTCTGGCATTTTCCCGAGTATACGGCTGTGGTGCACAGAAATGTCCAAGTCAAATCGAGGAGGGATGTCCCATCCGGGTGGGACTGTGTATGTATGTATGTATATTATGTTGTGTGCTTCGACGACCTAGTACAGGGGGGCGGCCCCACCGGCCATGGCAGCTAGAATGCGCGTGTGGGACTGTTATTCTGCTCGGGCAGAACTTGATTGCTGTTTCTGGCCGGGGGCCGCGGGCGTTTGTGGCTTGGGCCGCGACATCATTGACGGGGTGGCCCGAGTTCCCTCCAGGGCGATTGGGCCCCACAGGCCATTACTCAGTACGCGCCTGAAGGCAATTCCTGTGTACTGTGTACGATGACGGATTGAACGCCTATTGCCAACAACTCTGGGCTGGCGGGGCTCGAATCTTCGTGGCTCTGCATAGGTCCGCACGGCATGGTGCTCAACCAGAGGCTGCTCTATAGTCCCCATGTTACCACGAATGAGATGCATAGTTTGGATACGTGTAGCAATCAACAGCTGATGATTGATAACGACTGCTGTACAGTGGCCATGTGGTCTCTCCGAGTCGTACTGACTATCTGACTATCTGACTACTTGGGTACCTAAGTTAGGTGACCTACTTTTCCACTTGAGCATGGTTCTGTCCGGCCGGGGGTTTCGGACCGGCTCTAGGCCCAGAATGGAATCGCTAGATGACGGCAAACGCTACTGGTCGCGTTCTACATGGCTCCCACGCCCGTCTAAGGGCCAGTTACAGCATTGCGGTGCTTAGATGATCTTGTCATCCCGGTCCTCCCGCTAATTGCCATGCCGCCAAGGGTCTTTACTGGGAAGAGACCCGCAGGAAGTTCTGTTGTTGCCCTGGATGTATCGGGGCGTGCTAATACGGGCGACCACGGCAACCACTCTCAAGGTATTTAGTGATGGCCGCCTCCAGCGAGAGTCTACTGTTTCTCTCACCTCACTCAGTGCTGAAGTATATCGGAGCCACCTCCAGTCCGTCATTGAATCATGGAGAACTCGTCAAGTTCCAATGCCAATGTCTCCCATGATACCTTGTCTCAACATGGTGCTACGGATCCCGGAGAAAATCACCTTACGCGGGAAAAGACCGCAAAGTCATATACCTACGAGAGCGTGATCGGATGGCGTCGCTACCGAGTACTAAGGCCATGTCGCGGCATGTACCATGATGTTCGTCGAAGACTTCCGTACTATTGGAGCGACATCACAGACGCGTTCACCTATAGGACTGTGGCGAGTACAATTCGGATGTATTTTGTTAAGTGAGTCGACGATTATTTTCCAGCTTCCTGGAGAACCAGGTCCTAACACTTTCAGCCTTCTTCCTGCACTTGCCTATACCCTGGATATGTACAGAAGGACTGGCGAATTCTTCGGTGTTACCGAAGCTCTCTTCTCATCTGCTTTGGCGGCAATGGTGTTTAGTATTATTGGCGTTCAGCCATTGACAATCGTTGGAATTACTGGTTTGATCTCGCTATTTAACTACACCATCTACGACATTATTGCGCAATACGACCCGTCGTTGTACCCCCTTTTTATGGCTTGGACGGGGATATGGGGTGCAATCTTCCACTGGATTGTCGCCGTTCTCAACCTGTGCGATTACATGCGCTACGTGACAGACTTCTCCAGTGAGAGCTTTGGCATGTACGTCGGTATTATCTACATAAGTAAGTTAATAAAAGATTATCGCCCCTACACAAATTTGCCTGCTAAATCGCAATGTAGTCAAAGGAGTAGAGGAGTTGGTCAATGAATTCGACCAGGAAAACGCCACAGCAGGCTACTTGAGTTGCATCATCGCTATCCTCTACTTTGGATCCGTCTACAGTCTAGAGAAGCTAGGCCAGAGTACAGTCTGGCAGCCTTGGTTCCGTGGCATACTCGCAGACTACGCCTATGTGGTAAGTGTGTCGATGTCGCAACAGCAACTGCTTCCGGCAATTTGCCCAGGCTAATTGAAAGGCAGTTTACAACCCTTTTCTGGGTGGGATTCTCCCACATTCCAGGCAGACTTCAAGATGCGCACATCTCACGGCTTCCAGTAACGAAGGCTTTCTATCCAACTCAGCCTAGAGATTGGCTATTGGACTTTTGGAATCTTCCTGTGAAATGGATTTTCGTGGCTGTCCCATTTGGCTTCTTAGTTATGCTACTCTTCTACTACGACCATGTTCGTTGAGGCACCACTCGCTAGCTAGTTACTCCTGCTAACTTTCTTCTTAGAATGTCAGCAGTATCACGGCTCAGGCACGTCAGTTCCCGTTGAAGAAGCCCGGTGGATTTCACTGGGATTTCTTCCTGCTTGGCTGCACCACGTTCGTAGCCGGGATCTTAGGACTGCCTCTACCGAATGGTTTAGTTCCACAGGCCCCGGTCCATACGGACTCTCTTACGAACTACGAAACGAAGCTCAAGATCATTCCTACGACCGAAGGCGAAGGCACTGAGATACGCCGGCCCATTGTTGAAGCGGTCGACGTAGTTGAGCAGCGTGTCTCACATTTCCTGATGGGTCTTGCTCTCATTGGTACCATGACCGGTCCATTGCTTGTAGTGCTCCACACTATGCCCTCAGCACTGTTTGCTGGGGTTTTCTTCGTCGTTGGTGTAAGCATCAATCAGCCACCCGCTGTCCCCATCCCAGGCATTTGAATTAACACGTATCTAGTGGGGTTCTATTGAATCTAATGGAATTGTTCAAAAACTCGTGTTCCTCATGTCCGAGAACCGTTTTATCCAACGTGATGAGCCTCTTCTCACCATTCGGCGGCGTAAAATTTGGCTCTTCATTGGACTTCAGGGTCTTGGAGTTGCTGCCACGGTTGCTATCTCTCAGACCATTGCGGCAATAGGCTTCCCAGTACTCATCATCCTACTCATTCCTCTCCGAACACATCTTATTCCGCGGTGGTTCAGCCTCCGAGAGCTTGAAGTCATGGACGAGTTTACGTGCACTAACAAGCAAGTCCTGGCTAGTTTGGGCGGTACTCCAAAATTACCTGAGCACACTCGGGCAGAGGATTGGGGCTTGGAGCGGCAGCGATCCGAACGGCGATTTGGACTGAAACGACAGAGAGCTGGAAGTCTGAAACGCTGAGCAACCATGACCCTTTTCTGAACGTGGTCCAATTCCAGCTTTCGGAGCGCCAAAGGCAAAGATGAGGGCACGCATTCTCTGTCAATGAGTATGAGACCCAGATTGTCTTGCAACATACTCCATTGATTGGTTTAGAGCTTATAGAAAGAGCCACCGCGTTAGAATTTATCTCGAGAAAGGTAGTTTACAGACCTTGCTCTTGTGTTCTAGGAGATGAAGTTGTGCTTTCTTTCAGGACATAAACATTATGTACCTTATCACCTCATGAGAACAGTACGCCTGTCGGTGAAACCTCAAGTAGCCAGAAGGATGCCAAGAACCGAGATCTAAGGATTGCAAACATTATCACATTTCTCAGCACTATGTCTACACAACGAGCGGACGAAATATCAATCACTCGTCTCGTACAAAAGAACATCGTTATCTACCTAAGTATTACGTCATCGGTTGTTCGCGTTTCTAGTCCACTGCAAAGTTGAAGAAGACATGTCCCGAGAAATCTCGAAATAAATTAACTCTACAAATTTCAGATGGCGGGAATCACTTCATATTTGATGGACAAACGGCTCAGGAGTACCGTAACTTGAATGGAATGGCAATGGCGCACGGGGCTTTAGCTCCGGGAGACATTGGGGTCGGATTCTTATCGGATATGGCACAAGTTCATTAATTCTGATATCATTGCAATATCAACGCAGGTATACAGTATGGAGTCGAGACCTACGGACCCCAAGCCGCAACATGCGTATGCATGGAAACTGATTGGCAGAGAATCTAGTCTAGTCCCAAGGAAGTGTCCACGAAACTCCGGCTACCGACTTCCCTTTTAGATGCCTACCGGAATACTCGGGTTGATATCTCTAGGTCCCAGTTTTAAACCTGTCACCAAATCATTGATCCTAGTCGTCGAAGAAAATGACACAACTGCCTTTCATTAAAGTGGTGACTAAATTGATGGCGACAGTTGGTGACTTCCAGTTTGCGTCACCAACGCTAGTAGGGACTGGGTGAATCTAGAACTTCTGTGGCGTCTCAAAAGTATGTAACTTGAAAGATTGACACAGCAATAGAGCAACTTGCTGGTTAATGTTGTTACTTGTTGCAAGGGTAGGCTCAAGCTCGTCCGAAGGTGCTTTTGGAGTTACATATTTAAGGTTGGGTTTCGACAACATAGCACACACAGAGACGCTTTAACCATCAACGAAATCGTCTTTTATTACAAGTATTCGTCAATATGGATGCGATGTTCTCTTCCTGCGGCCTGCAAACGCTGCCGACTGAGTTTGCTTGGTCGCCACCTTGTCTGCGTGCTTTAACAGCCATCCAGCGAGACTTCGAGATAGACGATGAGAAGCTCAAGCGAATAGCCGCCCGTTTTGAGGAAGAGCTCTACGAAGGCCTCTTGAAGCATGGAGAAAATCTTGTAAGACCTGACGGTAATCTCTACTTAGCTCACCTTGCTGATAAATGCAGACGATGGAGGCCACCTGGGTACATGGGCTTCCGAAAGGTACTGAAACCGGGAGCTTCCTTACCGTTGATCTTGGCGGCACAAACATACGAGTCTGTTGGATCACCTTACGCGGAAGGGACTGCCAGCCGGAAATCGTACAGAAACTCTCCCACATACCTGAAGTGGTAAAGACCGGAGAAGCACACCAGCTGTGGGGTTTTGTCGCGGATTCAATCGACCACTTTGTTCGCGAACGTGGCCTTCACTGTACCGCGTCCAGCCCGTAAGTCAGCTGATTCCCAGCACTTGTATTTGACACCGTTGTTGAAGGTTCTTCTTCTTACTGATACTAGTTTGGCTCTCGGATTCACTTTCTCTTATCCTGTGAGACAGGACAGCCTTACCAACGGAAGGTTGAAAACATGGACAAAAGGATTTGATATCAAGGGAGTCGAGGGTGAGGACGTCGTTTCGCAACTTGACAAGGCTCTCAGAGCCAAAGTAAGGTACCTCTAGGCCACTTAAAATGATAAAACTAACTTGATGCTGTAGGACTTGCACATCGACGTCGTTGCCTTGATCAATGACACCACTGGAGCTTTGATTGCATCATCGTATATGGACGCAGAGACGGTCATTGGCGCGATATTCGGCACCGGTAGCAACGCCGCCTACATGGAGAATGTTGGATCAATCCCAAAACTCAAGACTCCCCTTCCACCGGACACACCGATGGCCATCAACTGCGAGTATGGCGCTTTCGACAACTCCCATCGCGTGTTACCTCGCACAAAATTTGATCAAATGATCGATAGCGATTCCCCGCGCCCTGGAGAACAGACGTTTGAGAAGATGAGCGCCGGATTGTACCTCGGCGAGATATTCCGACTAATCATCTGCGATTTCCATGACCACGGTCTTCTATTCAAGACTCAGAATGTATCCAGGTTGGCGAGGCCCTACACCATTGATACTGCGTTTCTGTCAGCCTTGGAATCCGACACGTTGCCAAATCTAGTGGGCAAATTCGAGTCTATCTCTGGCGTGGAGGCTACGCTTGGTGAAGTTCAACTCTTACGACGACTTGCAGAGGTTGTCACCACACGTGGTGCCCGTCTGAGCGCCTGTGGTATCGCGGCGATATGCAAGAAAAAGGGCATCCGCGAAGGGCATGTCGCTGTAGACGGATCGGTAGCCAATAAGCATCCGACCTTCAAGTCGAGATGGGCCAAAGCCCTGGCAGCGATCTTGGGTTGGCAGAGCGATCGTGAACGTGATCCCATCAGGATGGTCGGTGCCAAGGATGGAAGTGGTATCGGTGCAGCTGTCATCGCTGCCATGCATTTGAGGCACTGATTTGATTTGACGTCAAAGCCTCGTTGCAACCTGATGGCCACCGTAACGTCAACCCATGTAATAAGGTGCCGGCCTAGACTTTACAATACCCCGACCGCTCTGTTTGTACTAGCATAAATTATGACCAGGCTAGAACCGGTCTTACAGATATACATCTGAACCATGTGGGGCTTTACTTCTGCCCTGGCAGAATGATGCTTATTTCGTTGGTTGCATCTGCAATTGGGAAATGTTGACCACCACGTCGGTAGTGGTTGATTGTTGATGTCCGAAAAATCTTGGAAGTGGTTGCATCCAAAGACCACTCCGTCGCCGCCTCGACGAGAGGCTCAATCATGCCTGAGGCGGGTCTTGTGGAACTGCGTATCCCCTAGACAGCCGCTTCTCCTGTTTGAGCAGATCGTCCTGCGCTAAACCGGACTTTTCGAATGCAATGTCTATCACGACCTGTTTCCCCGCGCCATAATATTATGCTTGGGCCTCGCCTGGGAGCCAGGGCAGCAGGAAATCGGGTTTCATCATAATGACCTTGGCTGGTACCGCCTAACGGAAATGGCTACAAGTCGGACAAAACAGCAGATCTCCCTACCACATCGAGCAACCTACATTGCCCGTGTACCCCTTGGCTAAAGCTTGATTAGGTGATCTTGTTTCATTGCAAATAAACAAGCATTTCTGCGGTTGTAGGATTCAAGTCTAAATGAACCTCTAGACACGGGCTCACTCGGCTTGGGCCTACTAGCACAGGGCACAAGTTTTCATTAGGACTGTTTTCCACAACACGATACTTGTGAACGTGCAGTACTACAGAGAAGGTACTATGGTATGAAATGGTAGCCTTCCATTCAATCGATGATTGGTACGGTCCTGATTAGTTTGCCAAACGTATTCACAGAAACCCCCGAGGCAAGTAAAGAAGACTTGGATTAACTAAAGGATGCATGCGTATTGACCCAAGGAACTTCAAAGCTCATGCTGAATCTGGCGCGACCCACAGCTAGCATTGCAGTATTTTTCACGTGCTCCATGCACATACCTCTGGTTACGGCTTAGCACCAGGCTGCAGATCTGGTTCATCGTGCACTGGGCACTTGCTGGCCATTTACAATACCTTGCTTGGTTCTCTACCCAATCTGAGACCATGTTATGAGGCTCAAGGACAGCTTCGTTATTGCGTCTTCGCGGCGAGCCGCATTTCCTAGACAGTATGCAAGCCCGAATGCGAAGCTAATGCAGAGTCCCAAGCGTGGAAATGATGCTAGATGGTCACAACAATAACTGACCTCGAGAAGAACATGTACGATTGTTCTTAGCCAGACGCGGTTGTCGCTAGATACAGACGCACAGTGGTATTAGCTACAATATCCGACCGATCAAAGCATCTCACCATCAAAGAACGCGACTCGAGCAGCACAAGTTTATGCAAAATTCTCATTCAACAAGATCAGTGGCATATGAGCTGTCATTATAGCGAGTTCGCTGCCTCACGTATGTATTTCTGGATGGGTGGAAAGTCGCAACCACCATGCTTCAAAACCTCCGTTTTCATCTCCAACAATTGTGAGCGAAGCTCGCTCACTACAGAATGCAAGATTACGTTATCAGACTGGAGATGTCTGCTCCTTTGGACTAAATCCTCCATCTTTGCATTGGACTTCTGCCGGAACTTGACAGCGGCGATACGATTTCTGCGGCGCCGCAACTCGAGCGAATGCATCTTTTCGTCGCCCTTCTCTATTCTGGATCTTTTTCGCTCTGGCCCACATTTGCGATGTGTTACCTGATTAAGTCAGCCATACGCATTAATACCCGAATGCCATCAAGGGCAGCGTTCAAACCTTTGTCGATGCTGAGTCTTCTTCATCCTGTGGGCTCTCTGATGCTGCTGCGCTCGAAATACTTGTTCCTTGTAGCGCCGCCTCACTACTCCCATCGTATGGTGTGTGGTCGCTCAGGGTGTCAAAGAACGATGAATGGAATTCAACATCCGTGTTGGTTTCGGGGAGTTGGCCAAAGTCCCAGAGAGCTGATGCTTGAGATGTTGCCAATGTGGAATCAGCGCATGTCATATTGTCACGCCGGTGGTCCGAATCTGCAAGTCGTTGGCAATCAAGGCGATCGTGTTCGCTGGAGGGCTTGCAGACAACGGCAGGAAGCCAACCACCAGCGGGGCTACATATAATCGCATTAGTAGATTAAGCTCATGACGGACCGCCACGCATCTCTGTGATCGTGGCGGGACTTCCTGATGCTTTGCTACAGGTTTTCTGGGAGAACTTACTCCAACAAGACTCCACTTCACAGGGATTACTACGGAACCTTGTCCAAATACTCGGCTACACTTTCTGGCCTGAGTCAATGCACCGGGAATCATTCAATCCATTCAAGTATATCAAGTTATCCCCACCGGGCGCTCGGCAAATCCAACGCCTTTGACTGCCCGGGCAACAAACTAAAACTCTAAATCTTCGAAGGACAGCAGCTTTCTGACGTCGGCCCTTTTCACTGTATGAGCATCTACCTTGCCCGAAACCTGGGTTCAGGCGAAATAGTCAGATGCGACAGATGCAGGCCCTGGGTGCCATGCTAGGCCGAGGCGATCTACTAGAGCCTTTAGCCCTTGATGGTCTTAATCAAATTCAAGGGAGAAGCCTCAGAGCCATTAAACAATATGCAGTCGCCGTGTGCGCAAGGCCGTCGTGCGGCAGTGCAACCACGAGCTAAGGTCCTCGCCAGCCATCGCGAGTCTCACAAGCTCTCATCTGACATTCCTACAGTTCTTGCCATTAACTTCGGCGAATCTCTGGCTTTTTCGTCGCATGCTGAAAAAAGCATCAGTCTGGTGTCCGCACACCCTGTTCTTCGAGGCTCAGTATACTCATTCACGATAAGAACTTTATTGACAAGACATAATCGCTCCTGAATCCAAAACAGACGGATATTCAGGCCGATTCCCAATGTTAGGGTCTTTTTATCAAACTGCATGGGGATGCATTGTGCACACTGCTGGGAATAGGTGCAGTGACAGCATCCCGATTTACTTCTTTCAAATGCTCTGAAGCAAAGTAGAGCGCGTACCATACAACATCATGTTGAACCAGGCAAATGAAAACGTCTATGACATTTGGAAGCGGAGAGATTGCCCGTTAATCACGGGCCAACTATTTGATACTTATCTCTCAAGCCTTGGCATGTTTGTTTATGTCGGTAGTGAGCTCGAAGTGAAAGCACAACCTCAGCGAATACAGCATCCCTCGTTAGTACGGACGATATAAACATCTGAATGAAATAGCGGTAAAGTCAATAGACATGAAGTTCCCGGTCGCTAAACCGTATAGAGAGTAAACGTCAAAAGTTATAGTGTCATTATAAAAACTACATGAAAATACTAAATTGTTAATATAAATACAGTTAAAAAGGAGGACTAATGGTACTATCTTTAAAGAGCTCAGATGGAGAGTTTCTATAATACGGGGGTGAGTTGTATGGATTCCTCTTGCGGGGGACACTTGACCCCTTCGGTTCGTCTCCAAACAAATTAACCATCGAACACCAGAAGTTCATACATCACTATAAGCGAGCCTCTCGGTGTCTTCGTATATTTAGGACATAGCACTTGTTACCTGAACTCCCTAAACATCCTACAGGGCTTAGTACCTATGTTTTTACGGTTTTTAATGGCGGAAAATGGGAAGCTTTGAATGCTATTCCCGAAGTTTGGCTCCTTTAAGATCTCTTTAACGCCGGTGCTTTTAATCCTGATATGGCCCATTCCGCTACACATCTTTGTATGCTATAGGGTAAAAGATATATAAGTGAGTCCATCCGTATCATTATCGAATGGATGGGGTAATGCGATAAGTACTTAGGTAATAAACTCATTTCCGTAGTGATCAGACTCCTAACTTACGAGACAAGTCGCTGACCTACTACATATTTACAAGCCAAAATATGATCCTAAAGGGAGTTGTAACGCCAATTGGGATCTGAATCTAAATGGTCGATGCACCGGCAAAGGTTGAGAGCTATTATACTTTCTCACGGAGCAGTTTCTGGGTAGCACAGTAATTGGCCTCTGCAGCTTGATATTTACCTGTATGGCCTGAACTCTGACTTCTATTCTCGCATTGTCTATATTCTATCAATTTGATCAGAGTATCTTGGAGTATATCATTCATGTCTAAATCGTTGTGGGTTGACAGCTCTAATCAGATTGGTGGTGTATCATTGAGAAACGATTAGAGTCTTGCCGTTCGCAACCTACAGAAATTTGACATAGTGTCCTATCTCTGTCTCCTCTCTCTAGTGCAAGATACGGATACTTTCATGAGTCGTTTCAAGCAACTCTGTAACAGCAGGATGTCGAGTCTCGAGGCAGTCCAGGATGCAGTGATCTTGTTGCAATCGAAGATGATCGAAGAAAATCAATAGGAAATGCACACTTGGAAAGGCACAAACTCTGATCACTGCGAAGCTGCTCGATTGCAATGCTTTTTCTTGATATGTGCTATAACAAGTAACCAAGCCGATGCCTGAAAGCCAAGAGCCGATAAGAGACAGAACGATACGGACGCTGCCTTGGCGGGCCGGAAACTTACCGGTGGGACTGAAAGACTTCCTTCTGATGCACAGGGATATATGGAATGCCTCGCTAAAGGTCTGCATAACCTGCTTTTTCGGAAATTTGTCGATGGAGCGAACATGGCGCGAACGGCAGAGTATGCTACACGAGCAGCGAACGTCATGTTGTCTGTGAACGTGGAAACTCGTCATGGCGTGAGACATGCCTGCTAAACATATTATACAAACAGCTCATTGTCAATTATGGTAGCTGGATTTCGAACAACGATGAAACCTAGGACGCTCTATTGTCGACTCCTCTTTGGACCCACAGTCACAAACAACAAAGCCGCATTTTAATACCACATCAAGCCATCCCGAGCTCAGCACGCAATCCGACGATATCTCCCTGCGCGATACCATTTTACTTGCTTAAAGAAATGGTGAAACAGTTCGTGCTGTTTTTTTTTTTTTACCATTCGACTTTCGGCTATTCTGAGGCACTAGGCAGCACTGACTCAACTTGTAGGCCAGGAGATGGATATGTTTCTAGAATCCGAGCATAATCAAATCTCTCAAACTCATATCTATAATAAGCACAGCTCTGAACTTAAGGTAGCATCCTTTGTGCTGCTCGACATTCAGACGTAGTATAGCTGTCGTGGCTCATATATTACCCGTTTCTGGTCATTGACAGGATTGGTTATATTGGCCCGCTCTTAGGAGCCTCGAATCTTTGCGGTTGCCCAAATAATGCTTCTTCTGTAACCACACTCCGTGCCCCCCAGACTCCGTAAGACTCAAGTCGAGCAGGTTCGGGTGAGTGGCCGAAGACTGCTTAATAAAGCCAGATAAGTCGAATTCTCCTTCAATTGGACCCATATACCAACTAGCTCAAATACTAATCACGAAAAAGTCGCCTGGCCTTATATGGCGCGCATCCAACCGTCCACAAGATATAACCTGTCTGGTTGCAAGAACACTACACGTGTGATTAGTCAATACTGTGCAGTAGCTTTCATGCTAGGCGCGTATCACAAGGTCGCTGCGGCACAACGGCAGTCCCAAAGGCACATTCATAGCAGCGGTTGTAAGATTTTGATAGAGCAATTAATGTGCCAGGTATTCACAGGTGGGTTTTATTTGAAACTGTTTCCCATCTCAGTTCATGACAAAGGGGAACGGTACAACTGAGGCAGCTTCGGAGCTTCGGAAACGCGATTACGGTGCTGTATCGTATCGCTGAAAATAATGAAATCGCTTAATTTAACAGAGTCGCAAAGAAAACAGAAATCCTGACTGTATCCAAGCAAGGTGGCGTAGGAGGAACCATGTCTCAACATTCAATAAACAACTTCATCAATACACCATGGCCAAGATAGTTTTGCGTAGACAATCCTTCCAGTCTCTCTGGCTTAACAGGGGTGATCTTGGCGACGAGTCAAGCAAGGGTGGTTCAATCGAAAGGAGCCGAGGTGTCCATTTTCACATACCCTGTATATGGTACGACAAGAACTGCCCATACCAAGCAATTAGAGGGACTCGGCCGACATCAGGGGGAGTTGGTAAGCACGCTGCGTCGTGGAGATCTGCCCGAGCCAATCAAGTATCGACAACCACTGGCTGGCCCGCCAAACGGAACGGCACTCATTGCACTCTTTCAGAAGGTTGCGCGGGGAGGTCGCATTGCGGTGCGGAAATTGGAATGAACAGATCCGAAAACGGAGCCCAAATTGTCGATCGGCACTTGGCCAACAGTTAGGTTACATTCAACAGCAACCTGACTCTACCCAAGCGAACCTCGTAAAAGCGGAGTCTGAACCCTAAAGTATACAAGACACTCAAGCGAGCTGCATAATTGGGATTTAATATAGCCTCAATAGCTTCTTGTATCGATTTATTTCCAAGTGGTTATGAATTCAACTGTTGTTCCTAATTGAGTTTCCAGGTGCGAATTGTACTTTGGATACTGTCGGAAGCTTCATCCCTTATAACACATAGTGGCCTAAGGGCGCTGCTTCTGATCAAGGATGTGCATGTATCTGAAGGCGCAGCATGCGCTTGGTTATGGTGTGGTTCTACGAATTCAAGCAACCTGGGCTGTTACGACAGTCCCGAATGGGAAGGTTGCACCACAATCAGACCCCATGGAGTCTTAGAAATGACTTAGAAATAGGTTATACGAGTTAGACAGTCAAATATAAATTGACGTTAATTCCTTAGACAAGAGAAAAATTACACAAGACAGAGAAGTCAGTCACTACCATCACAAGTGCACATACGTCACAAGCCATCAATATCGTCATCATGAAGTTAGCCATTTCTTTTGCCTTATCCGCACTTCTAGCCTCCGTTGCGGCCTCACCAGCCGCTCCTGCAGCTGGTTCGTTCTGCGGCGTAGTGACAAGCCGAATCCAAAGTTACGCTCCCTGCGCAGATTGGCAGTTCCCCGTCATGGACCAGGCATGTACCAGTGTCGGCGGTACCGTTGCCGGCCACAATATTGAGTCCGGCAATGCCCTCTCCAACTGCATCACTTATTGCAATAATGTACCCACCGGCGGTCACGACGTCACGGGACCTATCGCGGCTGTTCCCTCCGTACCCATCAGCAGAGATACGACATATCATTTGTACGTTGTGGACAGCTGCAGTACTTGTGACTACTGCGGCCCACCTAAAAAGTGAGCCATCTTGGAGTTGAACATCTGCAGCAGAATGGAAATGGGTGGTCTAGGAACAACTTTGGGGTGACGAACAGTATCTAAGAATATAATGTAAAATTCAATGCTGCGTTGCAAAGTCTCTTAAATCCTTCTTTTCACCGTGATCATTCTATTTCCCCTGTGGTTTGCTAGGAGCGATTATGTCGGTTCCACAAATCACCGAAGCGATGGTTTTCTCAATCGAGAGTCGGGTTTTCCATCGGCAAATACTCCTTCGAAGTCTGATCATCGTCTAGAGCCTATGAATACCTTACGCGGAAGTAATAATAGGCGCATACAAATATCAACTTGGCTTATCACGTATCAGATCCATGTTTTCATTTATAACCTTTAATTTGGTCGCCGTCAGGCGCCTTGGCGTTACAAATGTAGGCCCTGCTGGTTTACAAGCAAGTATCAGCCGGCCAACGACTAAGCCAAAATGTATGGACGTAGAAGGGTGGCTCATAGCACCCAAGCGTTCTCGCACTATAATCTCTCTGTAAGACAATGTGGCACCTAGCTACAAGTCTTAGAATGACATCATGTCCTGCATTTCTTCAACCGGGCCCATGGAAGGGTCCCACCTTGTCGGCCTGCCGTGCATAACCTTCTGCCACACAGGACCTTTTACTTTGATTTCAGCCCAACGTTGAAGCTCCTGGGGAATGAGCTCATCATTGCCAACCTCGATGCAGCGGAGCACAAGCGGAAGAAGATGGCTGTCAAGGACCGTTGGACCTACCTCAGCTCCAAAGGTCCAATCCGCGTCGTTAGAAACACCGCTTTGCTTGCGATGCTCTGTGATCTCGGTGAAGATCGCGCGCAAGTCTGTGTATGCTTTGGCCACGATGGCCGGCTGGAAAGCCACGCCATTATTCTCGTTGTGACTGAGTGAGAAAGTCAGTGATAGCCAGGAGGTGAGGATTAGAGAAACAGATCGCACAGGGACGGATATTAAGTCAACGCAAAAGGGGTCACAACATACAATGTAAGTTTCACTTCGAGAGCTTTGCGGTACTCAGGGCTGATATCCGTCCTCCTCAGAATATCCTCCGCGGGTGAAGGATTGTGTTGCATCATCTCTGGTGTCGGCTTCTTCTTATTGAAGGATAGACCATATATGGCATGGATTCTCTTGAGGAGGTCCCTGATGATGGTCTCATGTTGGGGTGGAAGCATGGCTGGGTAGTGCTTTTCGGCTAGGTAGAGTGAGATGGAGTGGCTGTCGGTAAGTGCGCGCTCGAGGACGTTGCCGGTCATTGCGGGAACCTGGCCTTTGGGGTTCACTTTGAGGTATGACTCCCTCAAATTCTCGTTCTTGCCGTGGTTGACGAATCCAAGGGTGATCTTTTGAGGCGGTTTTGCACCATACGTCGTGGGGCCGAGTTGGACAGTGTGGCGAGCCATCATCGAGTAGAGTGAGAAGGGCGATGAATATAGAGTATATTCCGCATTGTGCAATCCAATCATGTTGTCCGTAGTTATGAGGTTTATGGTGCGGGCTTCAGGATGAAACTTTGATGGTAATGCAATGTGGACGAGTTTACTTGGAGATGAAGGAAGCTCACGGGAGGGCCGGTCGCTATTTGGGATAGCGTCACGTGCCCCTCATGGTAAGCTCAGACCTAACCTGGCACGAGAAGATGTTCGTCATTTTATTGATGATGATGGAGAAGGGCATCCCAACGAATTCATGGCAAGAATTATAGACTGATTAGAGAGAAAAAAAGGATGCACAATATCTCTACGCCATGATAGCATACTTCTTATCCGAAACGTTCAGCTACGGGTGGTGGGTCGGCGGGCCTTGCCCATATGAGTGCTTCGTTGGAACTTATTTCGTCAGTTCAAGTGCTCTCCGCAGCGAGCCGCTGCGACTTATGCATTCATATGGCTATGGAGCCCGCAGTACGGGGTCTGTTCGATGCGATAGCAAGGGGTTATTGGAACGGCAAACTGCACCCAAAACATTGTTGCGTGGTTGAGAAAAACCGCGTCTTGGTGGTTGAAGTACCAGCAGAAGATGCTGAAGGGAAGTTCATTGGCCATTTCGTCTCGATACTGTAGGCTAACTTTCTCCTCCAGAAATCAGGGAGCGAGCGACTACTTGGTATACCGAATTGTCTCTCTACCTTCGAGCACACAAATCCCTGGTTCCAAGCAGCAACGACGAAGAAACTTATGCTATGAGGATATTGTACGCAATATCTCGTCGAATTATATGGTTCAGCCCCCCATTAATGCTCATAAAGGCAGTTTCATAGAAGCAGTCGAAGGTGATGGGAATCATGTGCATATTAACCCACTAATCCTCAAGTGCTTCAGTGAACAAGGCAACTTGTGCGCGAGGTTCTTGGCCAATATAGAAGATTGGACTGTGTTTGGAACGACTTCAATGAAATATTGTAACCGCGCAGTATTTTGTAGGTGTCAACGAGTTACCCTTCTTGGAACATTACATTGATGATTTGCAGCGTTACGGTATGGGTTCTGGTACTGGATGGATCATTCTACACACTCGTTTGCCAATCTAGTTGAAGACACTGATACTAGGACGTATTATTTCGTAAACTTCCCATCAGAGTTGGTTCAACATCTCAAGGAAGTGATGTCTGCTAATGATCACGTGCGAAAAGCTCCCTTGCAATTAGATATTCTCATCATGGGGGCAGGTCCTTCGAAGGTACCAGCAAGGTATTACAGAGCAGAGAAAGCAGGTAAGGACAATAGTACGTTACTTATGGATGGTGACTCGATTCTCACATTTTATCAGGAGGCAGAGAGTCACAGACAAGCATTGAAGAGCAGATGAGGGAGTTGCATCATCTGTCCGTAAAGTGGCATGCCATGAGAAAAGATCTCTCCGACCATGAGCAGCATGTCAAACAGTTGAAAGAGTATTATTTGAGAACACGAAAATTGTTTAAAAAGACCGGCAATCACGAGGTTAAAGCCCCTCGAGATGATCTTCGGGATTTAGAGTAGCAGTTGAGCTTCTGGATGCGTTGGGTCGATACATACTCGGAGAGAACAAACATCCGGATCAATCTTGTAAGTGGAAATTGTTGGTGTACCTGAGCAGACTGTATAGACTGTATTAACCACAAATTTTTAGGTGCATCACTTGGTAGCACAGAAGGATAACCGACTGATTTTCACTCTTGCAATTGTTACAGCGATCTTCCTACCTGGAACGTTCGTCGCCGTAAGATCTCCACTGTCTGTGTTATTTGAGATTTGCACTCCCTGCTGAAGTTTCCTCTAGTCGATACTCAGCACGGGCTTATTTAGCTTTGATGGTATAACATTTACGACATCTGAATGGTGGTGGACATTACCAGTCATCAGCATCCCGTTACCTTTTGCGGTACTTGGTTTCTGGTATGTAAGCTTCCGCTACGAAGTCCGCGCCAGCCAGCTGCGGACTGCGTGGGCGGGGTTCCCCACCAACTTGAAGAACCTGAGCGCTGGGACCATGCCATCGTCTGAGGTTTGATCGCGATAGCACTAGAAGAACTGGAATCCTCGTGGAATTGTGTCAATGGCTACCTTGCGCCCTCATCGAGAGTCGCAGTTGTCATGGTGAGGATTACCGCTGTTATCGGAGCTGTGAGGGACGGGATACGGTAAACAGAGCAAATATAGGTGCTCTCAACTCCGTAAACACAGATAGGGCAACTTCAAGGAGTAAGTTCTTGTTCTGCTTTGAGGAAAAGACAGGCTACATGATCATATCTGCGAGATCCTACTTGAGCGTACATCAATGGACCATAATGTATCATTAATAATATTATTATTATTATCATATATATTTAGGGTCTACTAAGCTTCACTGCCAAGCTGCTGTGTGAATGGGCCTTTTGAAAGGTACCACGAACCCTGCTTACAGTGGCGGCTGAGACTGGGGCAATGCCAGTACCTACCGGGGGAAAATCCAACAGGCTTACTTGGGGGCCAAATTGTCCCGATGGGTTGGATCCTCTCCCCCCCTGAGTGATCCATTCTTATCATCTCTTTGATGATCTCTTCTCGTCACCTTTCTGTGTTGTGTTTCTAGATAACGATGCATTGCGTGCAGCGATGGACCCGCATAAGTTTCTATCAAATCGACACATTAGCATACCAACGGGGCCAGAAGTCGCACAACACCACGAGAAGGAGGCAACACATGACCCTGTGTCATCTCGGCCCTCCATAGCGACCCAAAGCGTGTCAGAGGGCAGTTATTACCACCCGATATCACAATATACTGGTTACTACCAGGTTCCCGAGTCGAACCCTATCGCAGCCCATGGGCCCGAACCTCAGAAACCCAACAGAACGAAGTGCCACATTGAACGAAATGGTTGGATCCTTATATTGGTCATAGTCGCCCTAATCGTAGGCGCTGCTGTGGGTGGTGGAGTGGGAGGGAGTCTCGCGGTTGAGTAGGTCCGAAGTCCCCCCAACGCATGTACGCCAGCTGATGGTTTGGGATTATACAGACGAGCAAAAGCCGCCGCGGTAACGGCCAACGCGACACCGACATCCTCTGCCCCACAAACCTCATCAACCGCAACATCGACAAGTACATTTTATACCATGCCGACCGACGTCACGAGGGGTGACGTGGACGTTGCGGTTGCATTAGATTGTCCTGCGATTGACGGACGATCTACTACAATCCTGGGGTCCACTTGGCTACCAGCTTGCGGGTTGGACTTTACAGGATCCGGAAACCCCAGTATTGACATTCTGGCTGCGACGACCTACTCCTGGGAGGACTGTGTGCGAGCTTGTGCGACGTACAACAAGAAATCCGGCTCCCGAGGCTGCGTGGGCATAACATTTAACGCTGGTAAGAGACATGCATCGCTTCAGCTTCATCACCTCCCCGAAAGTGCTGGCTAACGCATTGCAAGACCTTTCTGGTTACGTCAAGGCCTACGAGGGCAATTGCTTCTTGAAGAACGCGACTACGACGTATGAGAGGACTGGCCTTAGCAATAGGTTTGTGGCGGTAACATTAGAATAGAGTGGTTTGGTTCGAAGCATGGACTGGGCGTTATGTTTTATAGAAGGACGGTCTTGGTGGTGATGTATGGTATACGGCGACCAGATCCAATTGATACCACTACGCGAATGCACAATGCACACATGCAGGATACGATTGCCATTCGAACAGCTGCCTTAGTCAATCCTTGTGCGGTCTGTTCTCCAAAGACAAGAGATCGTTGAGATGCTCACATGAGGAACACGTGCAACAGTGCATCATTGGTTGCTACCGCCATTCTACACGGGAGTGCATTAATCACGAACTGCCACTGCACTGCCCTACCCGGACCGTTGAATGGCACTAGGGATGCGATGCGGCCTCCACCGTGTCCACACCCCTGCGCCGCTCGGCTACAGGAGCCCGGGCCCTCCATGCTATCTGTGCAACCCTTCGCCTGGCTGTCGCCCCGAACCCCGGCGGATGGCGACGTCTATTGGCTTGGCTGAAGCCGCTGCGGGGTCAGACGAGCCTCGCTGTTCTGATCCTTATCCAGCATCGCCTCCGACGCGCGGGTGGATCTTTCCCCCATCCCCGGTCGGATGCGTGGACGATTTCGAGCATCGTCTCACCGCTCGCGGGCGCGCCAAACACGTGCGACGACACCATGGCGTCCAGAATGAAGCTGTACAAGATCGTGGTGCTAGGCGACGGCGGTGTGGGGAAGACGGCGCTGACGAGCCGGCTGTGCTATCAGCACTTCGTGGAGACGGTGCGTTTCTCGAGATCCCGCAGCAGAAAAACACTGGCGCAATAAGCTAACCGGGCTGGACCAAAAAAAAGTATGACCCTACGCTGGAGGACAGCTATCGGAAGCAGTGCGTCATTGACGACCAAACCTGCATGCTGGAGGTCCTGGACACAGCGGGCCAGGAGGAGTACACAGCCCTGCGGGAGCAGTGGATACGCGACGGCGACGTGTTCCTGCTGGTGTTCAGCATCACCTCCCGGACCACGTTCGACGGCGTGCGCAACTTCTACCGGCAGCTGCAGCACGTGAAGCATTATCCCGAGGATGCCCCCATGCCGATGATTCTCGTGGGCAATAAGACCGACCTGGCCACCTCGCGGGCGGTCTCGACCCAGGAAGGCCAGGCCTTGGCCAAGGAGTTCAAGGTTGCGTATCTGGAGACCTCGGCCAAGGACGGCACCAACGTAGAGAGGGCTTTCTACGACCTGGTGCGGCTGTGGAGGCGGCAGAAGAAGAACGAGGACCCCGACGGTGCGAAATCCCACCCCGACTCGTGGCCTGCCACTCCCAGCAAGGGGAAGTGGAAGACGCGGTTCTCGCGCATTTTTGGCTCATCGAGCAAGTGACCTGGCATTGTGACGACAGATGCCTTTGGATCCATCGACGGCGACGTATAGAGGAGCTTAGAGCGAGCCATGCGGCACTGCGGGATTGTGAAGGGGGCGGTACAGGCAAGACTCGACGTGTTTTTTAGCATATGTGCGCCAAGGTGGGCGACCAATACCCATACGCGTATGATATTCATTGATGGAGGGACTATAAGAAGATGCTTCAACCTAATAAAAGCTCAAGACGATGCTGAGTCTCATTTCACCTCAAATGTCAACGATTTCCCTGAATTACAGTCATTGCTCCTGGACTTCACTGTCAGATTCTTAGTTCATGTCGACGGTCCACTACTAAAGCGATTCGAAACCGTGTTGCGCTCACCGGTTTGCGAATTCTGAGACTGATAGCAATTTATTGTTGGGCATGCGTAGGACACAGCATATTGGCTGATTACAGCGACCAGGACCCCTTAGCGCGAGCTAGTCAGGAGACTTATACTAATCTGTGTTCTTGCATCGTCCAACCAGCGTGATTATCGCTGGTTGGATGTTTGTATATGGCTGCTCACCGCGGCCTTGTGCAACTGTGTCAAAGACCGATGCAGCTAATAGAAGGGCTAGATTAGGAAGAAGGCTGGGACCGACGACTCCCAGAACGCTTGAAGACGTGCGTATGGTATCCGTAGTAACGACTCTTGACCCACATGGGGACCAAGGGCCGCTCCGAAAGCGCCGGTCGATGGCGTAGGGGGTGTCTCGGGCACTGACGAGTGCGCTCGCTGGTCTTTGGAGCCGCGGGTGTGGATAACCACATGGTGCTGGCTGCTGTGCTGATCGTAGGCCGCTGCTTACCACTGCCCTGGTCGGGTCGGCTGAATGACAGAGTTTGGCTAGATTATGCGAGTTCCCGGGTTTGACATATGGCTAAGCTACGCATGATATAGCCTGAATCCAGCGCGAAGGCAATTGGGCTCAAGCGGGAAACGCTATATTTATGACTTACTGTAAGCGATCGCTCAAGCAGATAGAACCTCACCTCCGCGGCTTTGACTTGAAAGGCCACTATTTGAGTCTCCGGTCTCCCCGCTTCGCCTAGGTTCCTCATAGGAGAATAGTTCTATGTAACATTTAGGAAGAAGAAACTTGGAGTACCGCCATTTTACCTATAGACTTGTTCTAAGTCATTCGGTCCGTATAATTACTAATTAGTATAACGTGGCACTATGAGGACTGACAGCTGGATGAAGAAAGCGATCATTTCCTGAATAGGAACATCACGTGATCTGCAGCAACATAACTATGGTCTCTTAACGTTACCCGTCGTCTACTTCCAGATATACCCAATTTAGCTCAGCTATTCAATTGCCTAAGCTCACCACAAGCGCACAATCGCTGGTACTTGTGTCTCGTAGGTCATCATGCAGCCGCTGTAAGAGGAACTACCACGCCGCACCATTACTTCTAGGCTGTTACTTCTTCGTGTATATGTGAAGTTCATCGGCCCAACGGAACAATAGCTCCTGTTAGTTTGATATACCCCGCCACAGAAACAACATTGGGCAGTGTGTATACTTGCTATCTGCTGTTGTCATACGCTCAGCTTGACACTCAAACGTTCCAGGGTAAATATCTGCTCTCTTCTTCACTTAACCATCAACGACTCGTAGGAGATCCCACTATCTCTCCAGGTAACCGGAGATGCCTTCCAGGCTTCGTCTAAATACGGAGCATCATGATCTGTAGCCAGATACTATGTGGTCTACCGGACGACTGGTCTGATAGTAAAATCGCCCAGCCTTCACAACACCTAGTTGTCGGGTGGATCCGGCCTGGAGTTGACTGCACGAAGTAACAAACCAAGAGCCAAGTCGAATGCCCAGCAGCAGTACACCTCTCAGAGCCAGCCACTAATATCACCTGAGCTGCTATGGTCTGAGCCAAGGGACTTTGGGCAACATGCCAAGGTGATGTGCTTATCCCCCGCATTTCCCCATCTTGGCGGACTAACACGGCTCATCCTGCCATCGTGCTTCTGTTTAAATAAATTGCAGATCTCAAAGTTTCCTTACCTTCTCACTATTTACTTTTCTACCATCAAGAGTTTAAAGTTATCATCATTTTACATTCTGTCTCACTATGGGGTGGCATACCCACGCATCTGGTACTCGTGACCCTCCGGAGGTTCGCAACTGGCGAATACACCTCATTGCCCTCGTCGCCTCCATGTCGGCTCTTGCAAGTAAGTTAAATCTTCCCTGATAACATGCGCAATGCTCATTATCTGACTGTTTCTAGTGGGATATGATACAGGTGTGTTGAATCATTGTGGCTGCAGAGTTCCGCTCTAACCTCAGATAATAGCGGTTATTGGTGGGACCATGGCGTTGAATTCATTCGTTCGAGATTTTCACCTCTCAGACATCTCCAAAACTGATAGGGATACCGTCCAGGGTAATATTGTTTCCACGTTCCAGGTTTGAGCCCCTCGTCTCTCGGAGCCTTTCAGCCACGAAGTCTGACGGGGGTTATAGGCTGGCTGTTTCTTCGGAGCTCTACTCACTTTTCCCATTGCGGAGAAGATAGGGCGCAAGAAGACGGTGATGATTGCTGCGCTTGTATTTCTCCTTGGTGGTACTCTCATGACGGCCGCCCAGGGTAGTATGAATATGCTCGTCGCTGGTCGTGCCATTGCAGGATTAGGCATTGGAGCCTCGTCTCTGACTGTTCCTGTCTACATAGCCGAGACCGCTCCACCATCTATTCGCGGGCGGCTTGTTGGCATCTTTGAAATCGCCTCGCAAGGAGGCGGTATGCTTGGCTTTTGGATCAACTTTGCCACAGACCAAACTATTGATGTAAACAAGCAGGCACAATGGATTGTGCCCCTTGCGCTCCAGCTGTTCCCCGGCGTTGCCTTGTTCCTGGGCATGATGTGGTGTCCGGAATCACCGCGCTGGCTTGCACGAGGCGACAGGTTTGATGAGGCGGAAAGAATCTTGACAACGTTACGTGGTCTGCCATCGACTCATCCTTATATCCAGGAAGAACTTGGCGACATCAGGGCCCAAGTCGAAGAACGAAGCACAAACCATCTGAGTCGCAAGGCACAGTTCAAGAAACTCTTCCAGAAGGGGACGCGCAACCGCATGGGTATTGGTTTGGCCCTCATGTTTCTTCAATCTTTCACTGGTGTAAGTATCTTCCTCGTTACAATGAGCAGTAAGCTCACGCTCTTCGACAGGTAAACATCATCACTTACTACTCCCCTCGGATATTTGAGACACTGGGTGTTTCTGGAACATCTCTTAAGCTCTTCTCAACGGGCTTTTATGGCATTGCGAAGACCCTTGGCATGATCGCTTTTACTTTCATTGTTGTCGAGAAAGTCGGTCGGCGAAAAGGGCTCATCTGGGGTGCGGCCCTGGGTTGCATTCCAATGTGGTACATTGGAGGCTACGTCATGCGCGCCGACCCGGCTGGAGCAGCCGCAAGAGGAGTAGTCACCAGAGACGGCTGGGGGTATCTGGCCATGGTATGTATTTACGTGAACGCCTTTGTGATATGCGCGACTTGGCAGGGCATCACTTGGACATATGCTTCGGAGATCTTCCCCCTGGATATTCGAATGCTCTGTGTGTCGCTCACCACGGCCGACACCTGGCTCGGATCATTTATCATAGCCCGCAGTACCCCATATATGATCTCGGACTTGGGGTACGGGGCCTACTTCTTCTTCGCCAGCATTCTCGTGGGCATGGGAATCTGGTCATTCTTCTTCGTCCCTGGTAAGAATTCCATCACCGGCCCTCTTCCATCTCTCTAGGACTTTTCTAACAAACTATCCTTTGCATGTGTTTAGAAACGAAAGGAGTCACACTTGAGGAAATGGATCTCCTATTTGCTCAGCCAGTCCATAAATCTGTGTGGGCCCAGCTTACCGGCAGGCCACTTGTTGACGCGAGGTCAGACGACGCAAGTGTTCTGGACGAGAAAGATGTCAAGGTGAAGCACATAGAGGCGGGCAAAAGTTAAGAAGGTATAGAAGTCCATATTTGTTATGGACTGGTTGATGCAGGTGGTTGCAGTGGTGGGGCACGAGAACTGATGGATGGGCCATACTGAAGGTCTTAACACAGTAGACGAAGATAAAAAATTAATTTTTTTCAGAGTCCAGTCCTTCCTCAATCGATGTTACTCAACTTAGATGGTAGGTAGTTACAGCAAAGCTCAATAAGAACACTGTGATCTTGGATCTGACGTACTGCCTTTGGTAAGACCTTTGGAGCTTGGCGCCTGGTCCCCTGTAGCAACGCGGGAGATGAGAGATATATATCAATGTTTGATCTTGCATCACGATCATCACTAACGTAGTCTTGGGGAAGCAAGGTCAGACTCTGCGTGAGATCTGTGATGAGTGGACCCGAATTCCCTGTGATCAAGACCTTGGACTTTTGGAGAGCTTTCCCCCCCTCATTAGCTTTGGATTTTCGTAATTTTTATGAGATCTATAACGTTCAGCGTCTCATATGTATCTCTGCAGAGACTCAATTTACGTAATTAAAACGTAGTTACAGGTATAAGATGGCTTTTGAAGTGTTCAACATGACAATTCTGCGGTCGAAGTCGTAGCAGCGCGTGAGCGTCTCACCGCCAAGAGCGTCAGGGTGGGCAGTAGAGAAGTTAATCACCCTTCCATCGCCAGAGCACCCTGACAGCCGACAACACATTGACCCGCTGTACCTGAACAGATGACAAGTCAACCTGCGTGTGCATGAAATAGGCCCATTTCTTTAGAGGACCGACCCAAATAGCTTTTGCTGGGCGTGTGTGCGGCCAACGCGCGATGACGCCAGGCTCAACAAGTCAATTATCGATAAGTGGATTTTGGCGGGGGTTTCCAGACGAGAGCTTTCCTACAACCCCGCTATGACATTCCGGTTCCTGGCGAAAAGAAAGACGTCCAGCTGGGACTACCTTGGCTACCCTGCCTTAACCCGTACCTCTACACATACCTTCTACTTACAGGAAACTCAACCTGCCCATCCTCGTCTACCATTCCTCATTCCGCAAAACCACATACCCGTTTCCCACGTTCATACACGTACACATTGCCCAGCATGGCCCGCAAGTTCTTCGTCGGTGGTAACTTCAAGATGTGAGCTCCCCCGCCCACCCGGACCCGGACGCAGACCCGGACTCGGACCTTGGGAGAAAAAGACGCAGACGAGGAGGTGACCAGCTACTGACGAGAGCCCCAGGAACGGGACTATCTCGTCCGTCAAGGAGATTGTCAACAACCTGAACAACGCCCAGCTTGACTCTAACACCGGTAAGCAGCTCGCCCTCCCTGCACCTCTACCCGTAGCCCTCCAGTTCGACTTACCCCCCGCCTGTTTCATGTCCGGACATGTCAAGACTTACACGCGTTGCTTCCCCCCCAAAACAGAGACCGTCATCGCGCCCCCGGCCCTCTACCTGCTCCTCGTCCGTGAGAACCTGAAGAAGGAGATCGGTGTGGCGGCGCAGAACGTCTACGACAAGCCCAACGGCGCCTTCACAGGCGAGATCAGCGTGTCGCAGCTGCAGGACAGCGGGATCGCGTGGACGATCCTGGGCCACTCGGAGCGGCGCACGATCCTGCGCGAGAGCGACGAGGTGGTGGCGTCCAAGACCAAGTACGCGTCGGACAACGGCGTCAGCGTCATCTGGTGCTGCGGCGAGTCGCTCGAGGAGCGCGAGGCGGGCAAGACGCTCGACGTCATCGCCGGCCAGCTGGCCGCGCTCAAGAAGCAGCTCGGCAGCGACTGGTCGCGCATCGTCGTCGCCTACGAGCCCATCTGGGCCATCGGCACCGGCAAGGTCGCCACCACCCAGCAGGCCCAGGAGGTCCACGCTAGCATCCGCGCCTGGCTCAAGAAGGAGGTCAGCGACAAGGCCGCCGACGAGACCCGCATCCTGTACGGCGGCAGCGTCAGCGAGAAGAACTGCAAGGACCTCAGCAAGGAAAAGGACATTGACGGGTTCCTGGTCGGCGGTGCCTCGCTGAAGCCTGCTTGTAAGTGTTTGCCCTCGGCTCCCGAGCCTCTCTTTGCATTCTTGAGGTTTGAAGCATGTTTACTGACCATGAGTTCAACAGTCGTCGACATCATCAACAGCAACTTATAAATGTGCAGCTCCTGTCTGGCGGACAGATGAGGACTCTGCAGTTTCCAATGCTATACGGACAACGGAAAAGGGGTATGGATCGGCGTGGGACTGGACCAAATGGATAGAATGACCAAACAAATAAATACCCTATCAAGAAACCCTCACTTGACGACCTTTTTTTCTGTGCCCTGGCGCCTCGACGTGCTTGCATGGACTGTGAAATGTAGAATTTGTCTGCGGATGATAGTGATGAGTATGCCATGAAGTTATATTTTCTCGAATTGTTCTATCCGGTTGTCATATGCCGCTGCGCTTGGCAACACAAGGCAATCAACCACCTTGGATTGGGTATGATACACGCGAGCTCAGTTGGCCCCGTAGATTTGTTGTACACTGATATACAGAGATCAATCAACCCCGTCTCTCGCCGTCCGCATCAACGATATAGACTTGTGCTCGTTCCTCCACCCTGCGCTTTCTCTCCAGTCTCCAACTCCACATCACATCAACCCGACAGCAACGCCTACACACCAAGACACGTAAGGGCCGAGAAGCACGGGCTCTTACACGGCCATGCCGTCGCCGTGGTAGGGGGACCAGACGCCCCTGACGCTCTCGTTGACGCTGGTGACGGGCTTGTTGACGCGCTTGACCTTGTCGCCGCTGGCGTCGCGCAGCAGCTCGGCCTTCTTGAGGATCTGCGAGGCCTCCATGTTCTTGACGCAGATGGACTTCTGCTTGCCGTTGATGTAGTGGCCGACCATGACGGGGTGCTTGCGCGGGCGCGGCGACACGGCGAACTCGATCTGCGGGTGGGCGGCCGCGAACCGCTGCAGGCCGTGCTTGATGAAGGCGCTGTTGGTTGTGGCCGTGGGGTCAGCAAAAAAAGCCCGGGTGCTACTGCTTTTCCCTCCTTGGGGAGATGCGCGGCGAATGGATAGATGTCTTACTTCATGCCCCTCGAGCTGCCCGAGTGGTCGCAGTAGTGGATGTCCATCCGCTTGCACTGGAGGATGAAGGCACCGAGGCCGTTCTGCATCATAGTGTCAGCGCTCCGTGGGACTGACAACGGCGGTCAAGCGTGTATGCAGCGTCGTACCTGGCTGGTGGACAGCTTTTCTATCGCCCTGATCGTCATCTTGTCTGTTGTGGGAGTGGTGGTGGAAAGCCGTGCCTCCGTCTGACCTCCTAGCAGGCCGATGGTCGAATGGTCGTATGTATCACGAATTTTTGGGAGCTGGTAATGCTCGGGTCGGGGCCCCTTCAATGCGCTAGACCGCTTGCGATTAGAAGCGCCGGGTCGGGGGTGTCCCAAGGCTGAGGCTCCCTGGGAGGGGGGGGGGGGGGGGACTTCCAGGCTGAGATGGCACAGATGGCACAGGTGGCACCAGGGGAGATTCCTTTAGCGGCTAATTGCCGGCTAAGGCTGGCTGGCTGGCCGGCCGAGACAGCAGCTGGCGGCCTGGGTGGCCTGGGAGACAGCCTGGAATGTGAACTGTAACATTTTCCTCCGTCGCAAAGCTCCCTGCCACCCCTGTCACCCTGTCGTCCCTGTCGTCCCTGTCGTTCCGTCGCCAAAAACGCGATCGAGTCGGCGTCGTCTCAGTCCGCACCACCTGGCGCCATCCACCACTTTTTCCCTCTCCATCACGGGCTGTCGTCGCGCCCGCTGTTGTTTCCATCCACCCATCCAATCGAGGGCTGACCCAACCTCGCCCTGTCATTCCTTTTCCGCTCCTCGCATCTCTCGCGGCCCCCCCGAACCCAGATCATGACGGACAAGCTCCCGCCCCAGCTCCTCGCGCTCTTCGCCCCTCGGCCGCCCCTTCGGTGGGTGCAACACGTCGACCAGGCCCCCGAGCAGCGCAGGACCGCCGGCATCGACTCCATCGCCGACTACCTGCCCGCCCTCAAGGCCTACAAGGACAACGACGGCTTCGTGCCCACCGAGAGCTGGCTGCAGAGGCGCGACCGCAAGAAGCTCGAGGCCAAGGCCGCCCGCGAGAAGCTGTTGACCGAGGGCCCCAAGGACTGTGCGTCTTCCTCATGTCCATATCCCCTTTCTGTTCCCCGTCGCCTGTTCGCTGGAGCTGCTTGCTAACTTGGTTCCCGCTACCCAGACAAGCCCGATGAGGACCCCAACATCCGTGGCGATGCCTTCAAGACCCTCGTCGTCGCCCGTCTGAGCTACGAGGCCAACGAGGGCGATCTGGAGAGAGAATTTGGTCGATTCGGCCCTATTGAGCGTGTACGTCTTTCCTCCCATTCGTCTTGCAAACTTTTGTCGTCAAACACGCAATGCTGATAGTGCCCCCTCGCAGATCCGCATCATCAAGGACACCCATGCCCACGAGAAGCCCAACAAGAAGAAGAAGCCCCACCGCGGCTATGCGTTCGTCGTGTTTGAGCGTGAGAAAGACATGAGAGGTAAATGCCACCACCGATTTTTCTCAAGAAAATGTTCACCGTGTCCCTCACCCGAGATCTGGCCCTCAAGCTTGCCTATCTCTTCCCCCTTCCCCCTCTCCCCTGTTCATTCTGTCCGCCGACTGAAGGTATGCTATCATTGGTAAGGATTTACTGACAATGGCACGTTGCTGCGCTCGTGAACAGCTGCTCTAGATGGCTGTGATGGTATCCGAATCAAGGACCGTCGTATCAAGGTCGACGTGGAGAGAGGCCGAACCGTCAAGGGCTGGAAGCCTCGTCGCCTCGGCGGTGGTCTCGGCGGCCGTGGCTACACTAAGGCTGTTGGCCCGCGCCCCAGCGGTCCCGGCGGTTTCGGCGGTGGGTTTGGAGGCCGTGACGGCTTCCGCGGCGGGTTCCAGGGCGGTCGAGGACGCGGAGGCTTCGGTGGTGGCCGCGGTGGTGACCGTGGCTTCGGGGGCAGAGGCGGCGGCTTTGGTGGGGGCCGCGACCGCGGCTTCGGCCAACAGAACGGCTATGGAGCACCTCCTCCTAATGCGCCTGCAGGACCTGGCTTCGGCGGCCGTGACCGCGACCGGGACCGCAACGGCCCCAGTGGTGGGTATGACCGTGGTGGTCGCTCATATGACGACAGATCCGGACGCGACGGCGGCAGATTCGGCGGCGATCGTGATCGACGAGGCGGAGGCGGCGGCGGTGGCAGCAATGCCAACTACGAACCCGTCCGTGGCGACCGCGACCGAGGCCGGGACTTCGACAGGCCCCGAGAGGATGACAGGTTCGACAGCCGCAAGCGTGGATTCGACGGAGGCTACGAGGACCCTCGCAAGCTGCGTCGCTACTAGACCAAGGCAAGACCTAAGCTGGGTCGTCTTGGCGGTGGGTATCTTGTGTCTACACACTCTCTCGCATCTACTGTATCCGTCTTTCCTTCTCCCTTTGGCCACCAAGGGTAAGCGGGTAAGATTATTTACAGCTGTCATCCAGCTCTGACTCGAATCGGTCACTTCTCCATCGAAATCGCCCTGAGCGCATCATCCACAGCGTCTCAGCGCCAACCCGTCATCCGCTATTGCCTAGGAGGCCCGCCCTGATACCCATTCACACATACACACATTCTACCGCCTGGCCAACCACTCCTTTCCGACGTCATAGTCGGTCTGTATCACCTCGTTTTGGACCCTGCGCCGTTCCTACCGATATCCCAGCCGAGTGTCATCAGGTTTGGTCAGGTAAACCGCACACATTTTTTTCTTCATGTACTCTATAACGGAAGCATCATAGGACAAGGAGTTGGGGCTTTTTCTTCGCAGCGCTGTTCACGCATGGCTACGCATTGAAGTGCAACCTCTCTCGGGAAGGTAAGGTCAGAGGTAAGGATTGTAATCACATACCTACTGACCATGGCGCCGCTGTGGCGCATGGGAGGGAAATGGAAGAAAGAAAAGTAATTTTAGCCCGAGTGTAATCGTTCAGTGATTCATAGCATTTTCTACCAGTGCAGGCAGAGCGCCTGGCCGTCAATTATCTGAGAGACGGCTTACGAATTGAGTTGATTGCCCCTTTTCTTCTTTGGATATCGAACCCAGTTCCACACAGCATCCATATGTGAAGACGAACTTCTACCTGGGTGATTGTTATGACACGTTCTGCGGATGGTCATGTTCTCGCCGCGCAGAGGACAGATAGATGGATGGATGGGCAGGCCAATTTGGGAAATGATTCAAATTCAAACCACCCTTTTTCCATGCCCTTCTACCGGAACGCCTGTGACCGGACCATAATGGTATCGTATCGCCCTATGCACATGAACAAGAAATCGCATCATCCTTCCTCCTCCTCACTCAGTTTTCGGTACGGGGCCCAGGTTCAGTGTCGGTCATACTGGCCCCTATAGGCCAGTCCCCCTATCCACAGGTGTGATACTCTCTTCCTCGCCACCCGGACACGGCACCGCCCGTAAATACCCGCCCGACACCTACACAGAGCACACCCACACAGAGAGAACATGTAGGACCTGAACGATCGGCATGCTGTCTCCCTCTAGTTCTCGTCGGCGTCGGCCACGTCCACGACCGTGACCTCGCCGGTGGCCGCGCTCCAGTAGGCGCGGACGTGGACGGCGAACTGGCTCATGCAGACGCTGAACAGCTTGAGCAGGCGGGTCTGGCGCGAGTCGAGCACGTCGCCCTCGCGGCAGACGACGTAGCCCTCGCCGGACCCGTCCTCCTCGCCCAGCACGATGCGGCCGCGGACCATGCGGGTGGGCACGCCCAGGCGGCGCAGCTCGGGCTCCAGCGTGTGGCCCAGCGGCACGTCGTGCTCGGCGGGGATCTCGCCGCCCATGGACATGACGTGGCCCGCGGGGATGGTGAAGCCCCGGCTCGCCTCGGTGCCGGCCCGCGCGAAGTCGACCGCCGACAGCGACGAAAGGTACGACTGCACGTCCGCCGGCGCCCGGTTCGTCAGCAGCAGGCCCACGGACCCCGACAGGTGCGGCGCCAGCTGGTCGATGTTGTCGGCGACGGCCTCCTCGGGGGTCTTGCCGAGGGCGCGGGACATGAGGGTCGTCTTTCCGAGGAAGATTCTGCAGGGGAGGACGGGGCTGGTTAGTCTTTTCGCTCTCGAAGTTTTATTCTTGGTCCCCTCCCCCGCCTGCTGCTCTCTAACCCTCGGGCAACAAACAGCAAGGGAGAGGCGGGGGAGTGAGCGAGTGAGTGAGTGGCGGAGAAGACGTACCGGCTATCGGACAGCTCCTGGCGGACCTCCTGGATGTGCGTGTTGCGCGTGTTCTCCATGCTGATGACAAAGACGTGCTGGTACTCGGGGACGGCCTCGCGGATGGTCTCGAACAGGCGGTCCTTGTGCTCGCGCGTCTTCTTGGCCACCTGGGTCATGTGGACCACTCTGTTGCGCTTGGACTTGGGCATCTTGGGCGGCTGTGTGTGTAGGTAGAACCTCTTGTCCTGTGCGAACTCGCTCCCTTTTTCCTATATGCCCGGACCCGAATCGAGCTGGGGTATCTCTGTCGTCGTGAGAAGAGCGAGGAGCTGTGTGTTCTGGTTGTGCTGGTCCGGCGGGTTGGAGTCGGAGCGACCACGTCGAATATCGAATTGCTGCTAATCGATAAAGGAAATCCGAACTTTTTTTTCTTCCTCCCGTAGGACCCTCGCCCAAGAAAAAAAAGCTGCGGGCGGTCAGCCAGCCAGCCAGCGGGTGGTCCTTTTCTCCCCCGCGCTAAAGGCGGACTGCCAGGGATCCCCTAAGTCTGGCCCAATCAGCGGCCGGCTGGGTTGGCTAGGGACTGCTACAGGCGGCTCAGCGGTCGAAGGAAAGACCGATCCGCCTATCTTATCGCTATCGAGACGGCCCAGCTCCCCCATTCGCTGGGCCGCTGGGCCGCTGGAGCCCGGGTGCCCCGTACGTGTAGCTTTCGGTTAGCTTCTGATGAAAAGAGTTCGAAGCTGGACCTCGCAATACATCACCAGAAAGCTCCGTGAAGTCGACATTTTCCTCCAAAGCAACAAAAACACACGACGACGACGCACAGTCCCGACGACACAGAGACTCCTATAGACTTGATCAATTACCCGTTGATTCCTTTTATTCTCTCTACAAACCAATCAAGATGGATGGCATGGGGTAAGACACCCCCCGTCTGGTTCCTAGCACCGATGACAGAAGGCGCCATGAGAGGCTAACCAGACCGCACGACTTGCAGACTCACAGCCAACGAGCAGCGCGAGCTCGAGCAGCGCCTGCAGAAGCGCCAGATGAAGGACTTCATGGGCGTACGTATCCTCCACCGCCCTCCCCCTTGCCTTGCCTCCGCGGTCTGCAGGGCCTCACGTCTCGTCACGTCTCCCTCGCCCTCTTTCCCCCCGACGCCGAAAAGAGACAGAACAAGCAAGAAAGACTGACACGGAAGACCCTGCGTAGCTCTTCGGCAACCTCGTCGACCACTGCTTCGTCTCGTGCATCGACGACTTCACCTCCAAGTCGCTGTCCAACCGCGAGACGGGCTGCATCACGCGCTGCGTCCAGAAGCAGATGGCCCAGTCCCAGCGCCTGAGCGAGCGCTTCGCCGAGCACAACGCCCAGCTCGGCGCCCAGCAGGGCCAGCGATAAACAAAGAAGAGAACAATAAGGAGAGGGGGGGGACCCAAAAAAACCCAAACCCCCCAATCGTGTCGAGAGGCAAGGACGGGTCCGGGGCGCGGGTTGTTTATGGGTGTCGCATAACCCGTGCCGAATTGGATCAGACAGAGGGCTGTCCTGATCCGTGGCGTGCTGTTGTGTTGTGTTGTGTATAATCAGTCTCCAGCGGCAGACGCTCGCTGGCTGTAACATTTTCTCGAGAAGGGTGTGCATCAAGGGGAAGCGAATCTTCCTCCCAAAGTTCACTCCCCGTCGCACTGACGGGCTGGTGCCACGGGGGACCTCGTCGGGCCTCGTGTGTACGTGTAATGTAGGATGGATGGACGGGGTTGGCATCTAGGCTCTCCAGGGGGCGAGAGGGCTCCTCGGAATACACAAAAATTTCAACTCTGTTTATGATCACAAGCACACGTTGCTCCTGTCACTTCCGTAAATGGGGAACTGCCCGCATTGCCTGAATTACATCGCCGTACTTTTTTTTCTTGCTTGCTATCTCGGTCCCACGCAGTCTCGACGCCTCAACTCCGCCATACCTCTCTAGCCTAGCCACTGGTTGTCACACAAGATCGCTTGGCTGATGACGCAGTCGCATTACTGTCTACCACCCAAAAGCTCATGCTGTACTAATCCAACCGTATTTCTCTCCGCACCCGCACCCCTTCTCCCTCCCCTCCAATCTTCCCCATTGGCCCTCTTTCCCCGAAGTTACTCGGTATCCTCCGCCAGCACGACCTTGACCCCCTCCAGCATATCGACGACCTTCTCCTCGAGGCGGCTCTCGCAGCCCCTGGCGGCGGCGGCGGGGCCGGGCCGGCTGGCCTTCCACTCGGCCTCGCGCTGGCCGAGGGGCACGAGGCGCTCGCGCAGGATCTTGCGGCTGCCGAGCCAGAACTCGACGTTCTCGAGGGCGCCGGCGGCGTCCCACTCGACGGTGGGGATGTCGCGGACGTTCTGCGCGCGGAACGCGCCCAGCACGCGCGTCAGCAGCGCCAGGTCGTGGATCTCGCCCACCGACAGGAGCGTCACGTAGGCGCTCTTGCTGCGCGCCGTCTGCGTGCGGCTCGCCCCGGGCGCCTCGAACCGCTCCACGCTGGCGGCCACCAGGCCCGGGAACTGGTTCAGCACGTACGCGACCTCGGGCGCGATCGTCTGGCCGAGCGCCGTCAGGATGTTGAGCAGCAGCGGCACAATGGCCTTGGCCCATATGGCGTAGCATCGCTGGGGTCCCACAGCCTCGGCAAAGGGAGAGACGTTGGCTTGGTTGAGGTGCTTGACCAAGCTGGCCGAGGTGAGGTGGTTGAGTAGGCCGTCGCAGGCGAGTTGCTCAGCCACGAGGGGGAGGGCGGAGAGCTCTAGGAGGAAGAGCAATGACAGTTCGCCGTAGATCGGATCGCCCTTCTCGGCGAGCTTATCGGCCCAGGAGTACAACGACACGGCCACGTGCACTGCGTCGTGGGCGGCCATGATGTTCACAATCTGCGTTTGGCTTTGGTTGATTCCCGGGATGCTGAGGCAAGTCTGCAGTATCGCGTTGATGATTGCGAGATCGTCTGGGAAGACAGACCCTTCTGCATCATGAATGAGCGATACCAGGGTGCGGAAGCCCCTGGCTACCACGCGGTCCAATATGCCCAGCACTGTCTGGGATACGCTTGCTGACGAATCATTGATTACGCGCTTCTGCGAAGCCGTCCTGGCATCCAACGAGGACGCCTTGACCTGCGCCCGCAGGGTGACATACAACAGCTTGAGGAGAGTTCGGTAGAGCGGAAGGCTGTCGGCGCTGTAGGGCTCTTCCACGGTGCTTACAGTTGCCCATAAAGCGTTCAGCAGCTGCGCGACGTCCCCTGCTGACGGTGTGTTGTCGACAACGCGTTGGACAAGCATCAGGGCGAGGTTCACGCGGGACTCGGTAAGTCTCTCAAAGATCTGTTCGTGCCCTTGCATTGCTTGGTTGGCTTCAAGGCACTGCTCAGCGACCTGGAGGGACTGCTTCTTGAGAGTATCGTTCTTGGGAAGGCAATTGCTCAGTTCCAAAAGAAGGAACTCCCAGGCATGGAAGAGTGCCTAGCCAGGGTCAGTACATGTCAACGCATTATCGGCAGAGAAAGACTTACTATTTGGGCGTCTACGAGTGAGAGATTCGCATTAGCCTTCTGCATCTCACTCTTGAAGCCATTGTTCTTGATGCCTGTCCACCCAGAATCGAATTGGAGCATCTGGTCCGCAAGGCTCAGGGCGTAGTAGTACTCGTTCCCTAGCGAGCGAGGCTCCAAAAGTGTTCGCTTGAAGTTGTCGAGCTTGCAGCTAGGCCATTGGTTGCTGAAATTCTTGGCAAAGTTGGCATGAAGAGAACTGTTATATCCTGAGACCACGACTCCGTCCCTCAGGAAGTAGTCCAAGTCTTGGGCAAGATCCTTTGCCAGCGAATCAGCTTGCCCGGTTTGACGCAGGTGGAATAGTTGCATGGCAAATGTCTCGGCAATGTATGCTGCAATACGCGCCTCTTCGCAAGCTTGGAGAGTGTTCGTTTTCACAGTGATGCTAGACGCCTTCAGCTCCTTGACATACTTTCGCAGTCCTGACAGGAAATTCGTATTCTTCTGCAGGTTGAAGATAGTCCAGGGCCAATAATTCTGGGCTGATGTTATGAAATCGAGGATCGACAATGCTTCGCTAGCAGGTAATGTGGAGATGGAAGAAAGCCTGTCGAGGGCAGACGTGAGGACGGAATCCGGCGACGCCTGTGACGCCTTGTCGTGTCCTTTCCTAACGTCGCGTGGAGTTTTGCCAGTAAGTAAGCAATTAGCCATCCACTGCTGTCTATTCCGCACGATGGTTGAGAAGAAACGCCACACGATGCTGACTTCCTCGGCTTGGTCAAAGGGCCGGTCCAGTGTTGAAAGAAGTTGTAGGAAAGCTCTCGAGGTCTGAGGTCCAAGGTATCCTAGTAGTGACGGCGGCTCGCCAGGTGCTTTCCCAGCGCTGACGACTAGCGCCTCCAGGAGTGATATCGCTTCTCCCCTGAAGCCTTCGTTGGCCGCGCACACCCTTGCGACGAACGGTGATGCTTTGAAGAGCTGTAATTCTATAGTGGTAGATGATTGATCAAAGAAGTTCGCCACTCTGACCAACATCGTTGCAAGTTGCAGTACAGCGCTGGTCCTGTCGCTGAGTGCCTTCAGACTATTGGTGTACACTGTCGTTGGCGGCCAGTGGACAGCTACGACCAACGTAGATAGAAGTGGTTGAATTCGTAAGCTGCCAGCGGCGGGTGCCAGGAAGCTGTCGATTATGTACTTCGCTGCTGCTTCCAAAGGTGCAGCCAGCTTTTTCTTGCTGGAAATATCGTCCATGGTATATGTGTAGAGTATGAATTTGTTCATGATTGGAACAAGGTCGCGAATCAACACAGTTCGTTGGAGCTCGGACGGAAACCTCCAGGTAGATGAGCTCTCCAGGATATCAATTGACGCCTGCGAGATCGACAACGTGACCATGGAAACGAGCTTGTCAGACACGCCGAGCCAGAGGTTTTCGCTCGTCTTTTGTCGTGACGTAGACTTTGCAGTTGTTTTCCTCTGGACAGAGCTACTCATAGCACTATCTACGAGGTCTGCGAGGAAATGCACTGCGGTAGCCAGGATATCGAATTGCTGTTGTGAAAGCTCCAAGGTGCCGACGAGGCGTGAAAGTCGCCCCCCTCTGGAGTCGGTGCTTAGTATAGCGCAACGACCAATGTATGACCACACTCGACCCGGACAAAGCGCTAGAACGGCGTCCAAGAACTGGAGAGATGCTGTCACCACAGCGAGCATGGAGTTGTCGGAATCGTTCTCCAGGTAAACATCTAGTATGTCACACACAACAGATATGATGTCCTTTGTCCTGGGTAGAGCCCGACTTGCCTCAGCTATGATAGCAAGTCCTGCTTCTGACGCATCTGTACCAGAGCTCAACTTGGAGGCTTTTAGTGTCTCTGCTCGGACCAGTATCGCAAGGAGGGAAATCGTGTCCGCCAACTCGTCGTCATTCAGTCCTCCAAGTTCCAAACGGTAGTTGTTCGAGTTGAGACTAGTTTCCAACCGTTTTCCCAGCAGGGCCAAAGCCGAATGCTCATACTCCAACTGGACCACTCGACCCGAGTCAACAACAAAACGACCTAAAGTCCCTTGGGGAATTACAAATAACTCCTCATCGGTGGAAATGCGTTTCCGATTCGAGATGACCTCGAAAAGAGGAAAGTCTTCCAGGAGGCGTAGCGAATTCGAGTTCTCCTCTTCGTGTGCAAGTTCGTAGTCATTGAAATGTGTAGGTAGTTCGAAGGTGAGACTCGGGGTTTTCTGGAGTAGCTTGAGGATGAAGTCGTGGTTAGGCTCAGACCCATGGGTCGAAAGGGCTAGAACCCGGCACAAGCTCACGTAGGGCGTGAACTCGTAGGGGAAGCGATTAAAGGCCTCGAAGAGAAATCCGTCAAGCGTGGCAGAATCGTTTAGTGTCCGAGAGACTACATCGTCCCTGGGCAAGACGTGCGTGGGCTTTGCAAGTTGCCAGTATCCGTCGCCACCGGAGAGCAGTGCTAGTAAGGCAAGAATCGGATCTTCCTTGTACCCTACGAATGGGTATGTAGCTTTCAAAAGACCAATCAAAGCTAGCCTCATCCGCGAGCCCACAGAGGGTGCAAAAATGGCGCCATCGGACGAACCGAGACAGCGAGCCATCTCGGTAAGCATATCGTATACCAAACCGTCGCTGAGAGCAGCAGCGGCGATCATCTGTGCCGGCTGGATATCGCGCTCCATAGAGGTGTTGGCCAAGAAGTCGTCGTACCCAGTTTTGTCTATGGTTGTAATGCTACCCGCAGAATTCCTCCGGCCAGCACCTGGTATCATTTGCGTGCCGGAGTCGTAAGTCTCGATGGCCTTCTGGTTTTGAATAGCATCTCGCTGCTCGGCTCGTTGCTGATACGATGACCACATTCCGTGCAAGACTGGCACCCAGGCAAAAGCCACAGGCCACGCGGAGGCGATATTCCTGTCGGCGGCACTGAACAAAACGTCATGGACGAGAAGAAGGGCGTCCGAGGAGCCAACATATTCTGTGCTGTTGTCGATCTCGACGTCCCCGTGGAAGTAGCGCAGGGTTCTCGGCAGGTTCAGGAGCGTCAACGAAATGACACAGACGAGGCATTGCACGGGCGGAATAAGCGGGCCAAGTGCTTCATAGCGGTTGATGGAGTCGAGGAACGCGGTGTCACCGACAAATTGGAACCACTGCTTCAACAGGTCAGCCGGCACCAGGACCTGGCCCGACAGATCGAGCAGTTGGAAAGCCACAGTCATGGCATGGATGGCTTCGGTGAGAAACGTCTTCATCCACTCGTTCTGCATGTCATCGTCCTGAAGCACCGTGTCCTCGACAACGGAGGCGATATCCTCGCAGCTTTTTACGCTGTCGGTGGTCAAGGTGAAGTACTGAGCTACCAGGGCGTGATACGTCTTGGCGGGGGCCTCGGCGCTCGGGGTCTGCGAGGTGAGGCCGTATGCCTCCAGGAAGGATGCTCGGATCTTGGTGGTGGCCGCATTGGCTGGGCAGGACGGCAATTGCTCATGTAGCATCAGGGTGAACAGATAGTCGGTAGTCATGGCGAAATATCGTCGCTCAGCGAGGTACGTGTGGAATATGCGCAGCCTCCGCACCTCCTCCTTCTCAAAGTCAGCCTGCAGCTCGATGGCATCGCGCGTAGCAGCCAGATTCAGGCCGGGGAGGATATTCGAGGTCTGGGCGTGGGTCGCGCCGGCGGCTTCTTGTAGGTTGGCGACATCCTGCGTGGAGATAGGCCCAGTCAACTGGCTGCGGGCGCGCGACTGGAACTCGACAACCACGATTCGGAGGGCGGCCAGCGAGTTTATACGGGCATTCTTGCTCAGCCAGAGTGCGTCCGCCTTGATCGTCTTGATGTCGTACTTGTCGTTGGGGGTGGGCGTGACCTGGACGGCAGACGTGCGGGTTTCGAAGGCCTGCTTGTGGGGATCGCTGCTGCCAGTGCTCTCGAAGACGGTGCCAGGCTTGGTGAAGAAGGCCTGGACGGTAGGGTTGGTAAGGAAGTCGACGATAGCTTGGCTACTCTGGCGATGGCCGGTCGTGTCTGCCAGGGCCGCAGCCACGAGCCTCCATGACCTGCAGAGATCGAGGGGTCAGTCGAGCGGCACCTCAGCAAACAAGGGGCCTTTCATGGCCTATGGCCTATGGACCTACAGTACGGCCGTGTCGCCCTTGAGGCAAGGCTCGAGGTCGGGCAGGTAGACCTTGTCAGCTAGCGTAGGTGCCATTGCAGGTGACTGCCGGCAATGCGCATAGCCTTATGCATCAAAATCGTGAAAAGACCATGTGCGCCGGCGTGTTTGCTGCTGCGTCTCGTGAAAGGGCGGGTCAGGGTCGGAGCTCGACGCGCAGCTTTGTTCGGCGTTGCAGTGCGAGACGGGAGGCGTTGGCAGCAGACTGGTGATGATCCAATGGCGGGCGCGCGCAAGGCAAAAAGTCAACAATCTTTCTTTGCAGGCGTCGAAGCAACAGCGCCGCCGGCCCAAGCTTCACTGTGGCCGCCCAGCAGCAAGCCTGGCAAGCTAGGGGGCTAGCTGATTACTCAGTACCTAGGTAGGTACGTCGGTAGCGCACTCAGGCACAGATATTCCACTAGAGGGGCTTCGGTCTAGCGCGCTTCGGCGTGCCAGGGAACAGGGCCACCTGCCGCAAAAAGCCCTGCAGCAGCGAAGAACCCCGTTTACACCCAATCACGAAGCATCGCTTCTCAGCCTCATCCATGGTCCAGCGATCCTCCAGGGCTCACGGCCACCGGGCCCCCAGGGAGGACAGGCTAGTGCTCACCTCTGCCGCCTGGTGATTGGTGGGGTGACTCAAGCCTCTCACCGCCCGCGCCCTAACAACGCAGTGCCTGTAGCGGCGGGGCCGGAGTCGCTGGCCCAGGCCGTTGACGCCGCATTTTCTGCCGCCTGCCACGATGCCGCTCAAGCTGATCTCATCTCAGAAATTGTGTGAATGCCCACGCTGTTCTTCTGTGCTGACTAGAGATTTATTCATATCCAGCTTTCCCTGACTGCAAAAGGGCGGTCCTACCGGGTCGTCGCCTGCTCTGCCATTTCCCACTGTCCTCTGGTCTTGCACAATTGCTACAGCAGAACGATTTCGCCATGGCTGCCCTGGATCTCATCGACCACTCACCCCACCATCCAGACCCGTCGCCACCAGTCGCAACGGCCTCCAACCTCGTTCTGATCGACAACTACGACTCCTTCACCTGGAATGTCTACCAGTATCTCGTAGTCGAAGGCGCCCAATGCACCGTCTACAGGAATGACCAGATCACCCTCGACGAGCTCATCGCCAAGAAGCCTACACAATTAGTCATAAGCCCTGGCCCGGGCCATCCCGAGACCGACTCCGGTATCAGTCGTGATGCAATCCGCCACTTTGCCGGCAAGATTCCCATCTTTGGCGTCTGCATGGGACAGTAAGCTCTGCATCTCATACCCCGTTATCTGTAGATGATATCCCCTGCTAAAACGGCTGCCTTAGACAATGCATTTTCGATGTCTATGGCGGCTCTGTCGAGTTTGCTGGAGAGATTCTGCATGGCAAGACATCCCCTCTGACTCACGACAATAAGGGCGTCTACGCCAAAATGGCACAGGGTCTCCCTGTTACTAGATACCACTCACTTGCTGGGACACATGTCACTCTCCCAGAGTCCCTGGAGGTCACCTCCTGGATCCCCAAGGACGATGGCTCCAAGGGCGTAATCATGGGTGTCCGCCACAAGGAGTACACCATCGAGGGTGTGCAGTTCCACCCGGAGAGCATCCTGTCGGCCGATGGGCGCATCATGATCAAGAACTTTCTGCACATGCAAGGTGGCACTTGGGCTGAGAACGAGCGTCTCCAAAAGGTCTCCCAGACCAATGGCACGACGACGACGACGACGACGACACCACCCACGAAGCCCAAGAACAACATCCTGCAGCAAATTTATGCAAAGCGGAAGGAGGCCGTCGCTGTTCAGAAGCAGATCCCCTCTCAACGCCCCCAGGACCTACAGGCAGCATATGATCTCAACGCCGCACCCCCACAGATTCCATTCGTAGACAGGTTGCGCCAAAGCCCCTTTGATATATCCCTCATGGCTGAGATCAAGAGAGGTTCTCCGTCCAAGGGTGTCTTTGCCATGGACATCAGCGCTCCAACTCAAGCCAAGAAGTACGCACTGGCTGGTGCTAGTGTTATCTCCGTCTTGACTGAACCTGACTGGTTCAAGGGTAGTATCGAAGACCTCCGTGCAGTAAGGCAGGTCTTGAACGGCATGCCTAACCGCCCGGCCATCCTCCGCAAGGAGTTTATCTTTGAGGAGTACCAGATTCTTGAGGCTAGATTGGCCGGTGCAGATACCGTCTTGCTAATCGTCAAGATGCTTGACGTGGAGCTGCTGACGAGGCTTTACAAGTACTCACAGTCTCTTGGTATGGAACCTCTTGTTGAAGTGCAGAATGCCGAAGAGATGAAGATAGCGGTTGAGCTCGGCTCGCAAGCCATTGGTGTCAACAACCGCAACCTCGAATCGTTTGAAGTAGATCTGAGCACGACCAGCCGTTTGCGCAGTCTAGTCCCCAAGGAGACCATCATCTGTGCACTCAGTGGCATCAATACCCACGACGATGTGGTTGCGAACCACAAGGATGGCGTAAATGCTGTTTTGGTCGGCGAGGCCATCATGCGCGCCCCCGATGCATCCGAATTCATTCAACAACTATGCGCCGGCAAGGTTACACCCAAGCCAAAGACTACTGAACCTTTCCTGGTCAAGATTTGTGGAACACGTACACCAGAAGCTGCTCTGGCTGCCGCTGAGGCTGGCGCAGATCTGATTGGCATGATCCTCGTTCCAAACCGAAAACGCACAGTCTCTGACGAAGCTGCAACGGCTATATCGAAGGCCATACATGGTTTCTCGAGACCGGCTACCAATACTAAAACCAATATTGATAAGACCATTGCCAGCGACTTTTTCGCATCCGCAAGCCAAAAAGTCACCGCTCAAGGATGCACGCGCCCTCTCCTCGTTGGAGTATTCCTCGATCAGCCCTTGGAAGAAGTTCTCGAATTGCAGAAAAGGTACAATCTTGACATTGTACAACTTCATGGCAATGAGCCAGTGGAGTGGGCAACCTCTATCCCTGTTCCCGTTATTCACAAGTTCGTCCCAGGCGATGCCGGGATCGGAGCAAGGGGCTACCATGCTGTCCCATTACTCGACTCGGGGTCGGGGTCCGGAAAACTTCTGGACTCGGTCGATATCAAGGCTGAGTTGGCAAAGGATGGTGAGCTGCGCATCGTCCTTGCCGGAGGCCTGAACCCTTCCAACGTGGCTGAGGCTGTCAACGGCTTGGGCTCAGAGGCTTCTCAGGTTGTTGCCATTGATGTCAGCAGCGGTGTTGAAGTTGATGGAGCACAGGACATCGCTACGATACAAAATTTTATCGCAACTGTAAAGAAACTGCGGTGACGTTTGACGACATTATGAGGCAATTTTGGTATATTCCAGGAGTGCCAAACTGCAACGACGGACATACCATGGTAGAGGAAAATCTTGATGTCGCTTCCGGGGAAAAGAGGACGTTAGAAGAAATAAATCAATGCGAAGACTTTCAACAGTCCTCTACAGCTACGCCTTCTCTTGCAATCGTCAGTGTCGCTTTGGCTCACATCGAAGCTGCTATATCTTTCGAATAAGCGTGGCTAATGTCAGCCCTATTGTATGATAACAAAGGGACTTTCACTCCGGTAGCCCGGTTGATAGCAATGGCATCATTAAGTATGTTGATTATACCTCGTGGAGATCGACTCAACCACAGCCGAAATCGGCCCTCCTTCACGAGCCTCACAGTTACATAGTGTGCATAAAGCTCGTATACTTATCGGCTAACCCGAATCGGTATAGAAATGCCCAAATATGTCACATATCGCCCACGGGAGCTCTAAAGTTCCTCTCCTTCACCATGAAGTGGCTGGATGGAAGCGACCAAACCTTCAGGTGCGCCTCTTTTGATACGTCCGCCCTATAGATATAGCTCGTTGAGCTAGTTACTCCCAAACGATTGGACCATGACCTCATGGTGCACTACCGAAACACCATCCGAGTTAGTCAGCTGAGGAGGCGGCGATATCCACAACTCAACTCCACTTCCCAACCCAAAAGATAAGCGGTGATGAGCCTATACTACCGTGCCATTTCTCACCCCCACTGCACACAATTTCTGTCTTTTTGGCAATTTCCCTGGAGTCCTCTCCCTGGTGTGTCATCGCCCCAAGTCGGTCCGACTGAGCGGTCCTTCACTTCCACCCGTGACACATCGTGCTCCCAGAGATACTGTGAAAGAGATGGCATCATCCCGGCGCTCTAGCTTCCATGCTCCAGCCGGCCCCGTAACGCCGGCGGTCGAGACCCCTGCTGCCACGGACACTGGGACCCAAACTCCATGGGGCTGGGGAGACGAGACATCGGCTCTCCCGTCCGGCGTCGCAAGCCCGGATGCCCACGCCCTCCTGAAGCCCGGCCAGCGGGAGATCGACCACCGAGCTCTGGCCCAGGCTCTCAGTAGTCAATCCCAGTCTCAGACCGTGGGCCTCAACACCGCCGGGGAGCAGATCCTCGAGCTGGGCCGGGTCCGCAGTCGTGCCCAGCGTGAGAGCAGTGTCGGCCTGCCCGCGGATGGCGTGACTCGCACCCAGGAGCTCCTATCGGAGAGGTCCAAGCAGGGGGTGCCGCCCGAGCTCAAGAACCTGTTCGCCGAGGCCGTCTTCGTGCTGGTCAACACGGCGGGCCAGCTGATCTTCTCGCTGACGCTGGGCCAGGTCATGGTGACCCAGAGCCAGTTCCAGGCCGCGCTCGGCATCGCGCCCAGCCAGATCCCGTGGCTCATCGGCTCCTCACTGCTGGCGAGCGGCCTGAGCGTCATCATCTCCGGGTCCTTCGCCGACCTGGCCCCGCCCAAGCCCCTGATGGTCGGCGCCTTTGTGTGGCAGGCCCTGTGGAACGCCGTCGCCGCGGCGGCCATCAAGCCCGAGCTCAAGATCCTGTTCTTCGTGGCCCGGGCCATGGGCGGGCTCTCGGTCGGCATCCTGGTCTCGGCCAGTATGAGCATCTTGGGCCGTGTCTACAACCCGGGCATCCGCAAGACGCAGGTCTTCAGCCTGATGGCGGCCGGCGCGCCCCTGGGTTTCTGGATCGGCTGCATCCAGGGCGGCGCCCTGGCGGCCCACCTGCCGTGGATCTTCGGCACCACGTCAATGTTCCTTGCCCTGTGCGCGGTGGCCGCCCAGTTCACCATCCCTGCGCTGCGGCCCGCAAGAGACAGCGCCGACGGCGATGCGCCCTCTCTTAGAGAGTTCGACTACCTAGGGGCCCTCCTCGCATCGACCGGGTGCGGTCTGCTTCTGTTCGGCTTGACGCAGGGCAGCTCAGCGCACTGGAACCCGTATACTTATTCTTTGATTATTGCTGGACTTTTGTTGTTTGTTGCGTTCTACCTCGTTGAGAGCCGTGTTGCTCGGCCTTTGATTCCCAATGCATTGTGGAAAACCCCGTGAGTGATATTGAAAGCTACTTTTGCTCCTTTTGGGTAGGCTCGGGACTTTCACGAGGTCCTGGCCACGGCCATAAGCGTGGCACTCAGACTCAAACTAGATACCCATCCCCTCAACGCAGTACCAATTGGAGATTTACTGACGTGTGATGTTATAGGGGGTTCACGGCATTGATGATTGCATACTTTCTCGGATTTGGAGGTTTCAGTAAGTCTTCTCTACTCCCATCTTTGTACAGGCCATTATTTCGGGACGACGACGAAGCTCACTTTCCATACACTCGATGCTTGATAACGTGCTAACGTATGACTATCTAGACGGAGCTTGGCAATTCTATGCTATCCAATTCTGGCAGCGCTACCAAGCGGCAACACCCCTGACGACCGCGCTGTACTTCCTCCCGAACGCCATCGTCGGCGTGCTTGCGACTTTCATTGTCTCCAAGACGCTGCATGTCTTCCCAGGCCACTGGATCTTGACGGCGTCAATGGTGGCCTTTGCCTTGGGGCCGGTCTTTTTCCTGCCACAGACCCCATCAACGACGTACTGGGCCTTGAGTATGCCCGGTGTCGCGCTCGCGACCCTGGGGCCCGACATGAGCTTCGCCGCCGCGGCCATCTTCATTACTAGTAGCGTGCCTAAAAGCTACCAGGGCAGCGCTGGCAGCTTGCTTGTCACGGTGCAGAATCTGACCGGCGCTATTTTCACCAGTATCAGCGACACCATCGGCGTCAAGGTCGACGAGCTGCCGGACGGCACTATCGGTCTCCAGGGCATGCGCGCCATCTGGTGGTTTGGCTTCGCGAGCGCCATGACCGGCGCGCTGATCACCGCTGGGCTGGTCAGAATCCCGAAGGCCGAAGAGAAGGAGCACGTGCAGTAATCAGCAGGGGGATCTTGGGTGTGAAAAAGCGTTTATGATCGACTACAGAATTATTTAGACTGGGTAAGATTTATTTAGGGAGGCATTAGTATTTTGTTTCCGGCGCTCGGCTGAGCGATCTAGAGTAAAAATATAATAAAGTTTCTCATTTATTCTTACACTATCGAAGACGGGACTTTTTACGTACCCTGTGGAGGTGATCGTGATTGGTGCTAGTCAGTCACAAGTACCAGCTACCCGTAAGACCTTACCCCCTTCGCGGGGCGGCACAATATCCCAGTGAGACTCGCGCTCATCGTCCTCGAAGACTCGTGCCCAAGCAACGCGCAGTTCTCGTGGTAACTTCCAGCACATCATCTCGTTATTAAGCCAGATGCGTACAAGATGTCGAGCACGAGCCACGCTGTCCTGGAATGCCTCTCTCCGGTGGAGCACTCCCATGTTGTTTATGAATCTCAGGTCGCCCTTCTCCATAAGAGGCTTGATCTCATGCTTTCTACCAATGAAGTGAACTGCGTCAAGGGCCTCTGCCTGCTTCTCTGTGAGTCCGGGGATTCCAGGGGTCCGCTTGTCATAAGGCTCATGCCCGACAAGCAATCGACGTGAAAACGAGGCGATGAGCTTCTCCTTGTGATAGAAGAACAGAGGCCGCTTGTAGTACGATGGGTTTCGTCCGAAGCTTGGTTGTGGAGCAGTTTAGCTTGTTTGAGTTCGTGGTGGATGGTAGGAGTTGGGAAGGCAAGCTTACGTATCAAATGGCCAGTTGCCCTCAGCCAAAACGTGGATTAGATCTGGACGTGTTGATGCAAGCTCATTGTATACAGTCCAAGCAGAAGTGATGACACTTCGACCACCATCGGCGGCGAGACTTTGTGTAAATAGACACAAGCAGTCAGTCACCGTATCTGTGTGGAATGGCTAATTGCTATCCTTAGCAATAGGGTCTGAACTCTCGGGATATTAACGACACTTTACCTTGTCTTCAGTATAACGAACGTCGCGGTCTTCATCATTGCGACAGATGACGTGCACTTTGATTCTATTAATCCCAAGTCAAAAGCAAGGAAGTAAATCAAGAGTTATGCTGTAAACTTACTCAGCATTGAGCCTCTCTGATCTTGCTTGCCCCGGCGCTCGCCAATGTAGCTGGACACCCCAAGATACACAGCAGTCAAATCCTCAATATCGTAAACATCGGGGTCAAGCCCCCGTAGAATAGCGAAACCTCTCCCATCATAAATATCGTAACATATATCAGCCAACTTCTTGCCGAGATTAGGTAGAGGAAAAGTGTTACGCGAGACTTGGTTGCTTTGAAGACCCGTTCCTTAAAGCCTGTTAGTATGGGTCATACTAAAAAAAAAATGGGGTTGTACATGCTCTTAAAATAGGCTAGAGCCGAATCAATATCCGTCTTGTCTTCCGGAGTTAGTTTGTAGACGTATTTCGACTCGTCTCTAAAATCATTTTTGTCCCACACCAGTGGACCTTCCAACTTTAAGGGCCACCCATGCGGCACAGTGGTTAAAAGATCCCTGCGGGCCAGGCTCTTCTGGGATCGTCGTTTGAAAGCTTCTTCGTTGACATAATATCCAATATCTGCAGTAGGCTCTGGTTCTTGATTGATCACCTGGGAAGCTTTGTTGGCATCGATAAGAAAACGCGCACGCAGCCCAGATGAATAATCTAAGTGGAGAGATTAGTCTCCAATGTCACTTATTCTGCCTCATTGACTCTCCGAGGCGATGATAAATCAGAGCGTGCTGGTAGACACAGTGAACTTACATTCTTGCCGGTCGTTATTGTCGATGGACTTTGAAAGGCCCGCATCGGTTGATATGAATGGAGCCATGGCGCTCTAAGCAAATCCTTGCTTCTGACGTATCCCACGGGAGTCAGCTCCTGAATCTGCCTGCACTTTCTAGAGACACGCCCAGCGAGCTCGACCTTGAGTCCCCAAGTTGCGCCAACGTGAAGTCTTCAATGGATTTAATAGCAATCAAACCTCCGAACACCGGACTCCACGGCACACAAGGAAAGTACTCTTCAGATGGCAAACACGGTAAGCTGCAGATTTCAAGATACACGTTGGAATGCTGGGAAATGGGCTATTTATCAAAATCCCTTACTAGCTCGCTTGTTAGCAATGAAAGACATTAGACCCATCTAGACTGTTCGATGATAGATCACATGCTGAACCTTAGACCAAACGCACGGTGGCACTACCGGTTTGAAGATCGCGGATTGTTCCACTGACCAGCTGTACGGGAGGTTGTACAATATACTCGTGAGCATCTGAGCACTGCTCGCAACGTCTCGTTAAAACAACAGCATGGCCTGGTGTTCCCTGAAGGGCTGGCTTCGAATTTCACATCCTTGATATACGAGCATTATTTGTTAGGGAGAAGACATAAGCCACTACATCAATATGCCACTTATTTAGTCCAAGTCCCTTGATCGTAAGTGCTATAAGGATTTCTGGAAGCATGCTTTCTACGATTTTGTGGCTCAGCAGATCCCGAAGTCTCGCGGCACTAGCTTGTATGGCCCTGCGCAACTTAGCTTTTGTAGCACCGGAGAAGTGGAATAGAGAAGTGAATGGAAGAAGTTGAGGCTATCACACTATCTTCTCGTCTGGCCCTCAAGGCCGACCCCATAGTATCCTGTCAAAGCCAGGTCCACTCGATCAAGGTCATCAGATATCTCCGCTGGCGAATACATTCGCTTGATTGGTGGATGTGATAACACGGTTGTTAATCCCGGACTCGTAGGTGGACTAGCTAGTGTCCATGCCGAATCTTCGTAATTCGATGATGCCATTGTCCGAGTGTCGAGTTCGATCGCAGCGGTTGAGTCCTCCGAATCTCGGTGCTTGCTCACGCTTACTGCCGAGTTTCTATAGCTCTCATACCCGGTATCGGTCAACTCTCGCGAGTTGACGGTGATGGCTGGGATGGATTTCCGCCAAGTGTTGCTTCTCGGAAGGGAAGCCATATTTCGTGCGCCGCCAGACTCGACGTCGGCATAGTCCCCGCGGTCGAGCAATCCTTTGCGCTGTTTCAGTGTGTAGGTTACAGAGAGTACCACTTGACCAATGCTTGTCGTGACAAGTATGATGCCAATGATCAGATCTAGTGCACTAGGCGAACCTTTCGCGGCGGCCAAAAGTACGGCCACAAAATAGACGATCCATATGAACGTCTTGACACAAGAAAAACTCAATAGGATCACGGGGCTGAGTTTACGCGTCTTGTATAACGCCACTTCAGCACTGCACATCGCTAATGTAACAATGCAGAAAACGAGCAAGATGGAACCGACCACTCTAGGCCCGGGGTTAGCCTGATGCTCGGCAGTCGTACCATTGGCAATATTACTTACACTGCAACTCTGGCTAGGTCATCGACGGAGTAGCCCAGCCACGAGAATCCCTCGTGACCTTTTCCCATTGCCAGGACGACTGTGCTGGCGCCGACAAGCAAGCTCGCAACAACGCCCAGGATGGCAACAGAAATACCCTGAAGGACCCAGCAGGGTATGAATTGCCGTTTCCGCCATAGACCAGCGTAGGTGCGCATGGTGTCGCTAGAGCGTAGCACGGATGCGACGGTGAAAGCCAATGCTGTGGCCGACCGAATCCGATGGCCCCAATGAAGAAACAAGTCTCACTCCAAAATAAAACATTGAGACCCTTCCGAAGTCGATCGGACTCTGCGGAACTTATGTATGTCGGTGAGCTTCATCGTTGTTCGTAAGGGGCTGTGTTAGGCCTGCCCTTGCTTGCAGGATCAGGGCGGGGACTAGAATGGGGCACAGGAAATGAAGCTGTGAGAAGACATCAGAACAGGGCCACTGTATTGTAGGACTGCACGCTCTCGGACGCCCTTGAGCCGCTGGAAAGTGAATCCCGCCACCAACAACAAAACACAATTAACACAATGGTCCATGCAACGAACGTGATTGTTGCGGTAGCACCGTAGCTTGGAGTGATTTTCGTGAAACTGGCATTCTCCCGCCTGATTGACATGTAGGGAGTTTTGGGATATTTGACAGCTCCAGCTCTTCAGCCAGGTGCCCCGGTGGTCCTAGGGTAAGGGGTACTAAAACATCGGTACCGATAGATTACAGGCTAAGCCCCATCAAGTCAGGTCTGATTCTAGAGCGATATTGCAGCCAATAGGCAGCTAGTTCTCAAATTTATATTTAACACTGGCGGTCCCAACAGTCTGGCGCTGTGAACGTCCGGCAAAGCACACTAACGGCCGCTAGGCCCCGGTCTGCCACTGTAACTCTTGTTTCTGCGGACTTCGAATCTGTGACTATCGAATTCCAGACCAACTTACGTGAAAGCCACGCAATCACTCGTGTTCCACCGGGCTCCAGAAACTCTTTAGAGATGATCATCGCTTTCAAAGCACCGTCGAGCTACACATGCACGGAACCGATAGCAAGTTCGAGACGCCTTGCATTGACTCCTCATCTATTCCTAACGCCGACGGGAAGGCCGAACCCTCGTGTTGAACTCTGCGGCACCCCGTCGTAAGATGTGAACCAACCATGTTCGCGATTGAGGAAAAGCAGCCGGCTCGAACAGCCTCATTTGGTCTGTTCTCTGGGGATAAGATCCGCTCATCGCCTATGGATGGTGCAGGTGATGAACAACCGTGGCAGTTGACCTGGACGACTTCCGCTCAACTGCCCCGTACGGCACTTACCGAGTTGCAACAACACATAACATACTCCTACGGATCCAGAGCATGGCAGCACATGGCGACCGTTAAACATCTTCTACCAATTAACATTGGTAACAAAGCAGGTATGAAAACCAAGCCTCACTCCAGAAATACGTGCAATTGCTTCGGTCAACTTGAGAACATGAATCTCACACATCCATTTTGGTAAGAAGATTGAGACAACCCGAACCTATGCGGGCTAAAACCAGGTCATATTGTATGGAAATTTTGGTTTCTATATGTACAAGCATCATAGTAACAATAAACAAGAAATGAAGTAGTGTATCCATCAAGTATCAACCAACTCGGTCTGCATTCACCATCGGAACCAGCCCGCAAAAGCACGATCCTCAATCTTGGCGTCGGAATCGGAGTCCTTGGTTGCCTTGGAAGAGGAGGAAGTCTTGGTGCTGCTTGAGCTTGACTTCTTGGTCGAAGACGAAGTGGCAGTAGCTTTTGCGGAGCTAGAATTGGCCGTGCTTGTCTTCTTGGAGCTGGAGGTCGAAGTGGCCTCCTCGTCGTCGCTGCTCTTGGCACTAGTGCTCTTGGCGGCACCCGAGCTGGTGGTCTTCTTGGCGGACGAGCTGGCGGCGGCGGAAGAGCCGGAGCCAGAGCCGGAGCCGGACGTGTCACCGGAGATGTCCGACTCAGAGTAGATACAATAGGTGCCGTCAGCACCCGAGCCATTCTCGGTAGGCTCTTGGCTATTGTCGTCGGTTCCGGTGTACTTGACGCAAATGTCGTCAACGCCAGAGACAGCAATGTTGGTGAACGTAGCCGTATCACCGTAGTTGGTGTTGATGCCGGCAAGCTGCTTGCCAGACGTGGCGGTGATGCCGCTCATGATGACATGGCTGTAATGTGTTAAGTACATGATCATCAAGAACTGAAAACACATATCTGGTTGACTTACCGCTCGTACATAGTCTTGCAGTTACCGCAGCTGCGGTAAAGCTTACCGAAGGTCTCTACGGTGAAGTCGCTGACACTCAAGGTGCCACTACAAGCCGCTGTTAGTATTCATCCTCTTCGAATAGACATGTCAGTTGAAGCAGCTTACCCGCCGTTGTGCTGCAGAACCTTGTCGTCGGCTCCGAAAGCACCACCACCCTTGATGTACGTGGTCTCGCCCGCCTCTTGGCTCTTGATGGTGAAGGCATCCTCGCAAACGGCAGACCACCAAACGTTCTCAAGGGTACAGGCACCCTGGCAGTGAACACCTTCCATCTGGTTGGGCCCGATGATGACATTGGAGAGGGTGCCGCCGTTCTCGATCTGGAAGACGGCGTCCGAGTCACCACCCTCGGACTGGCCCTCGCAGCTCACACCGCGGTCGTACACGAACATTCCACCATCGAAGGCCTCTCCTGCTGCAATAGTCTTAGGGGCGCTCAGAGCAGAGGAGCCAGAGGAAGCGGGCACGCTATCACGCAGAGCAAGCTTCTTTGCAGCCACCGGGGCCGGGGTAATCTTGGGGTTAGGGGCAGCATTTGCGCCGAGAGCCAAGGAGGCGGCAACACCAAGAACCATGCGGTACTGCATCTTCGATGTGGTTTGTCGGGAAGTGTTGTGGAATAAGTTTCTAAGCCTGCTTGAATGAGTGAAAAGAGCGATTAAGCACTGCTTAATGAACGAATGGGAAGAAAAGAGATAGCTTGTGGTGGTAGAAACCAAGATCTTTCCATGAGAAGGCCTGGCGTCTTAAGTATTCAATCAAGAAGTATATTGAAACCCCTATAGGGAAACCAAAACCCAAATTTTGGGCTGGGTACTGTGTAGACAGAGATGAGTCTCCTCGGCTTAGTCGCGGGTGGGGTATGCATGCTACCCGCACAACCACTGAGAAATTAGACATCCATGTGTCGTTTGAGGATGATTGAATGTTGGTTACCTGAGTCGTCCGATCTTGATTAGGACCAGGAACAGGCAATCCGCGCTTTCGGGATCTTGCCGTTGATCTGCGGCAAACCGGGAGTACCAGGGTGCAATCCATGATTGCGCGTCGCTGGAACCGCACATCACAATAGGCGGCGCTTTACAGCAGTAGTGAATGAATATATCGCTATAATATGCTTGATACTGCTCTAGTACATCTTATATAACGATGTACCCTAATAGACAGGGATTTGAAGCTGATAGGCCAGGCACACGGGCCAACAGGCACTACGCAAGAGCCGGGCTTTAGATGAAACCAAGTGGATAAAGAGACCGCTGCGCAGCCTTCAGCGTGGTTCTGGAGCTTGATCGTCGTGGGCTTCCTCCCAGTTTTCATATGTTCGAAGCAATGCCAAGGCTGACATCCCCGGTTCTTCTCAGCCTTGGCATGCAATAGCTTCCGCAGGTATATGCTGCGTCGTCATACTTTGGGCAAAGATATTCTCCTAGTATCCACGACCGACCTCATCCTTGTCACCCCTCACGTAGATGATGTTGATCTGATGTTGAACTTCTAACCACGTACGATATGTGGACGACTGAGGTGGATGCAAGATCGACGATATCAACCATCGCCCACCATTGCTATATCGGCTACACTTACCATGGCTACGCCCCATGATTCCAAACCCGCATAGTGGATTTAAACGCTGTATTTCTTGCCTATGTCTAATATGTCCGCCACAGCTGATCGGTGCGTCATAGCTCTTCGTATTTTGCAGCCGAAGAAGATGTCCTATAAATGATTTTTGCTCCTCAGATACTTCGCATAGTTTGGCATGGCCATTCTCAGTAATTGAATGACGTTCCTATCTAAACCATAACCTCGTATATTGCTTGACAAAGGCTTTTCACTAGTGACAGAAACACTTATCAATCCCTCCTTGCTATTTTCTTCCGTGGTCTGAAAAAGCCGATCGGAATGTGCAAGTTCATCACCTCACGCTTAGCTGGCCATTTATGGATGATTTTGCGCACCCAGGTGACCAAGAAGGTGGCACAGTCACGAGTCAATAAGCATTCCAGGGCAGAAAACTAGTCTCACGGCATGACCATATCTGCACCCAAACTTAGAGGAAATTGACGTTGGTCACCAGTACAGTCGTAAGCTAGTGTCAAGAAATCTTTAACAGCTTCTGTTTTCATTGACATTGCTTTGAGCGACTTTACTGATTCCAACCGATAAGCTTGAGTGGATTTAAGGGGTGAGAACCGTGACGCCACAGGTGTCTACTGACCGTCATACCTTTGCTAGCATCATGCTATTTACCTGTCAATATCAACCGCGTTGATGTTGAGATAACCCTCTTTGTGCACCGAAGTTACGGCTACGGAAGGAATCTGCACAGAGCTCGAATTTTAACGGTACCAATTGTCATGAATCGAGTCAAGCATTCACTCTGGCCATCAATCCCGCATGGTAGCTGCAGTGGCGCAGCATCTCGCCTGGCAAGACAAGGGGTTCATGCGGCTCAAAGTGGATTCTTCCATGCAGGGGCAAACCTTAACCCAAATACACAAGGTTATGCAAATCGTACTTGAAAATTGTACCGATCATGGCCTATGGAGGTGGTATTGGAACCGGCCTTGCTTTCGCAGGCATGGATATTTCTCCAACAACAGAAAATCGCCTCTCGAAAAGTGCTTATTTGTTGCATAGTGGAGGAACTAGTCAAGAAGTCCCATCCGGGCAAAGCTATCCAGATTCAAGTTCCAGACAGAAAATCATTCACGTACGTGCGGGGAATGAATGCAGGCCCGAGATCGTAAAAGATGAGGTTCCAATTCTTGAGCCCGGTATCGAGAGCTTAAGCACCAGAGTACCGTTTTCTTTCAACCTGTAACTTAAGTATAAGACTGAGTTGCCCAAATGCTCTGACTATGAGGCCAATGAACAAAGCTGCAGCCTAAGATCAAGACCTCAGGCATACATCGTTTCCCAAACAAAATTCTCCAAATCCTCAAAATATATACATAAAGCTCGCATTTCTCTACGCAAGGCGGCAGGTGAAGCCCGCACCGATGCCGTAGACAGCTCTAGTTTGCTACCGATCCCCGCGCGCCGCATTTATCCTCACAATAGTAGTTCCACTGTGGCACAAAGGGTCAGTCCTGAAATTGACAGTTATCTTTGGCAATTATCGTACCTCATCGCCACCGATGTGCCAATCGGCAGAGTTACATTGCATGCCGTCCTAAAGCACGTTAGAATCTTCCATGGAACGGAGGTATCCCGGAGGACCTACAAAAGTGCAGTCTGGGCAGGTATCGTATTGTTTGTCTCCGGTGTTGCGATTTAAGTACGCAGTGCAAGCACACTCTGTGGCATTCGCAAGTATTTCGTAGGTGCCGCCTTGTCGAACTCCGATGCATGTTGCGGCGTAGTGCATGTCGGCAAATACCCTAAGTAGAGATTAGCCACCGTGGGTAACTAAGGGAAAGGGGTCTAATAGCACTCACGATGGCACGGCCAATATGACGATGGCTAAGGTTTGGAATGAGGCTGATCGGAACTGCATTTTGAGTGGACGGTTTGATATAAGCAAAGTGGTTTTCGTTGGATCTGAATCAAAGAAAGCTAGAAGTTGTTTGGTTCAAGTGTACGTTGAGAAAGATGTCTGGATGTTTGGATCTTCTTGCTTTGATCAAAGGGAAGGGACTAGATAAATAGTATGCGCCGGCCAGTAACAGAAACTCAATTGCCGAAAGGGGACAAGTGATCCAGGACTCGTCATAATCACAGATATATTTAGCAAAGTTCCCCAAGCCCACTGGTTTGCGGGTATTCCCGCATCGAAAGGCCCTGCCAAGCAGTCTTTTAGATTTGCATACTCGACTATACGATCTTTGTTCATGCAGTTATGGGCAGCTATGGGTCACTGCGAGTCATTGCCAGGGACCAGTGGGTCGATAGCCGGGTCCCGTAGCGCTTGTTCGCCGGCAGTCGCCTTCAACGGTACCAGGTCGACGCTGGAGCCGGTCAACACCCGCGAACTTGGACCCTGAAATATCTTGGTGGTCCTTGGTACGGGTGCCGGTTCGGACGGTTTCAGAATGCCAGGTGGCGATCATAATGCCGAGCTCCCCACGTAGTATAGCAGCGTCCTCTGATTCGTCCAAATCAATGTTATCGCAGACTGTGGGGAGCCTCGCATTGACTATGAGCAGGAATTCGCATAGGGGGCCCACCTACACCTGTTCAGGGTTCGGTTACCGGAATAGCGCCAATACGAGAAACGCAAACCCATGATTGGTCTCGGTCAACGGATCTGGCATGCATGAAGAACGTTCATCTGAACAAGCCACAGCCGTTGAACCTTAATTGCGTCCAGATAGAGTTTGCGCATGAGGCTATCGCAATCAGCCGCAACGGTACTCAGTCATGAGGGCTATACCACTTTGCTGAGCCAGCCCACTATGCCAAGGCTGCAGCTATGACTCGTTCGTGGTGCGATGGAAGTTTGCCATATTGCTGCATCAGTTCGCGACCCACTACGTCGTAATAATAGATCCTTCTCGTAAGGAGTACAATGACAACCAGATCTTCAGGACATATAAGTTACACGGATAGTCCTAGACCTTATGACTTATCCAAACCAGCCATTCAACGACATTCACTCCCGTCCACAGTTCATTCAGTCCACGGCTTTCTCCATTCACCTCGCTCCTTGATCCACCTACATATTGCCCATAATGAGACAGTCCAGCTTCATTGCTCTCCCGCTGCTCAGCGCCTTTGCTGGCGCGGCATCTATCCGGCCCGACATGCGTGTCAGAAATGCCAGCCAGGTCCTCCAGCCTGGAGAATTCATCTACGCCAACAAAGGAAAGAGTAAGTCAACGCCCATCCCTATGGAACACCCTGTCTGGCTCGGCGAATGCTGTAACAAAGGGTCAATTGTCCTGAACGCCAAACTGACTTCGTGTTCCTTACCTAGTGGAAATTGTGAACGAAACACGACTTCGAGAACTGATGCTGGCCGACGGCATTTCTCTTGAAAAGCCTGCTCTGGACGAAGAGTGGCTCAACTTCACACCACCCAATAACACCAACTCGTCAAGCTCGGCAGCTCTCTCTCGTCGCGATGGATGTGACTCGTCTTTTATAACCGACAAGACGGAGACATTCGCCGACTGGGATATTCAGATGTCTCCTGTCGTACTTGGGGCCTCGACCGGCATTGATGTCACGATCTCGAATGGATGGACTGTGAGCAACTCAGTCTCTGTTTCAGCGGGAGTCGAATACACGGTGATCAAGGATGTACTCGGTCTTTCATTCGGAATTGATTATACTCGAACCTGGACGTCGTCGGCTTCTCAACTGTACAAGGTCAGCGTCCCGGACGGATCGGCTGGCACATGGGTCACCCGGCCGTGGACGACCCGTAGATACGGCCGCACCTTCAGTGGGTGCCCCGGCTCTTTGGTCCAGACTGGCACGTGGACGGCAGATTCCCGTGAGGAGGGAAGTTACGACAGCACCTCATGGGTCTCTGGTGTTATCACCGCGTGTGTTAAGGAGGTGCCGAACAATGAGCAGCTTACCCGCTGCGTTGGGGAGGGAACATTTGCTTAGTTCGTCATTGAGTCAATGGGATGAAGCGGGCATGGGATGCCAGTCAGCAACTGTGAAATGGCTTTCTGTGTATATATTGCCATACATATAGACTTGGGCCAACTTCGGGATACCGAGTGCATACTGAGCCAGGGAAACGTATGCAGGAGGTCGGTGTTGGAATTCTTTTGCACTTTGGTTTCATGAATTGAATGGAAGCTATCAGTTGTCTTCTAGACCGTCAACATCATATATCATTGCTTCCTTATTTCCATCCCAGCGATATGTAACAGACGACAGGAAGGCTAGAATCGCTGATTCACTGTCACCGATGAAAAGGATGTGCCAATCATCATGATAAAGAAAGACACCATCGTCATGATTATTCGCCTTCTCAATTCCGGTCAAGTAGTGAATTTAGACACATATAGCGAATGGATGCTTCATCGAAACTATATAAGCCTGCTTGGCGGACCAACTTCGCTCCTCTTACCCCACCCAGACTACCAAGACCAACAAGGGCCCTTCGTTCCAGCGTGCACCCACTTCAAAACATTAGCAACGTCACGCTTCGCGCTGCATTTGACTCGACCGCTAATAGACTCACTCCGGGCCTTCTTCTTATCACCAAAATGTCGCCTTGGACCTATATCCCCACAACGCAACACTATTCTCGCTGGAATTGCTACCAGCACGGCCTGACCTGGACTCACCCAACCCACAGTACCGGCGTCCTGTATCCAAACGTGCAGCACGTCGTCCATGTGATTCCTCAGCGTGCGCCTTACGCCGGTATGAATCCCCTTAGAGACGGGCACTGCCCAGCCGGGAAGAAGTATTACCGCGATTAACGAAGGTCTAGTTTTCTACCCTTGAGAAAGGTCAATGATGATGGGCGACGTGGCCGCGCTAGAGATGGAGGGAAGCTTAGTATGAAATCAGAATGGGAAGATTGTGTACATATCTTCCCGATCGTGTTTGGTCATGGGGATCTAGTCTCGCTGCGTGGAATGTACCTGAGTTCACATCATCTTCAATTCAAGCAGCCATTTTGCTATGCCGTGCCCTTGCAGCACATGACATTGATGGCGCAGCTTTTAGGTCGAGTGTAATTCATATAAGCTTCTGTCAATCTACAGCAGCGACTGTACTTGTGAAGTTCGTACTACGATGACATCTCAAATTACTACAAAAGCTCAGCCCAACAACACGCGCTCATGGTCACCCCCTAGCGTACTCTCTTTATCTCCACCCGCATTGCCTTCACTGCCACTGGATTCAACGCAATCCAGCACGACCACTGTGCCACTGGTACTTTGTCTGAACATTCTGGTAGGCCGAGAATCTGATAGTATGGTTTCGTGACTGTGTCGTGAGTCGCATTCGGGGGGACAGAAAGGATCCGAATCGCCAGGCTCCCCCTGAGACGTATTCCATGTATCCGGGTGGCAAGAAGACGTCTTCAGACTGGGTGGTGTTATCGCTTCGGAGACGCCTGCCCCTTGATATGGCGATGCCTTCGAACTTAGATGCACTGGGACCGGTACGACTTGAGCGGGCTCTGATGATACAACAAGCGGGGAGTCCGATCTAGAAGCCGATGGCGAGCTCCTGTCCAAGTTCAGTGCTGATTCGGTGCGACCTGATATCGATAAAGTGTCTCTTGCGCGCAAAGAGGCTGCTCGGCATGGTTTGCCCACAGAAAATGAGCGCTCGGGAATCCCCTCCTTATCCTTGGACTCAAGAAGCCGGCGATCTAGCAAAAACCCGGCGTCGGTCAATTTGGTTGTTTCCTGGAGGGGCAGCAGAACCGATAAATCCTGTTCTTGACCATATGGTGATACGGGATCAGTGTGCGAAATGTGCTGAAGTTGAGAGGTATCGTTACGCGCTCGATTGATTACCAACGGCTTTGGGTAAGCCTCATCAAACTCGTCGTCCTCAGATTCGATAATGGCAGAGTCATCTATTGGACTAGAAGGTGTACCATTAAGTTGTGCTGTGTTATCTTGAGTTCGAAGGTCGTCTGGTGTGGTTACCTCTGACAAACGACTACGACGCGCTTTTCCTCTTCTCTGCCTATGTCTTTGTGGTTGTGAAAGAGGGCTTGCATTGCTACTAGAGCTGTAGGGAGGCGACGGTGAAGCGTAACACGGATCAAGCGCAGACGGCTGATTTTCAGTGTCCTTTCCAACGGCTGGTACTTGGCTCTGGTCGGCACAATAGCTTTGCTTTGGATCCTCCGAAGACAGCGCAAGCTCGCTTGCTAAGTCCAAGAGACTCCCAGGTTGAACAGGGAAGTCCAACGGCGTGACACCAGATGCTGGCGTGTTGAACATCGGGGATTCTTCACCCGAAGAGGGGTATATATCAGCCGAGTCACGCGACAATAGTCGGCGTTCTTTCGCGTTGGGGGGCACTGGGAAATCTGATCGAATGGAGTAGTTTGAAGAAGATCGTCGAAATCTTCTTCCTAAAGATCGAAGGCGTCTAGAGATCGCATTTCTCGCAGTAGCACGAGGTTGAGATCGAAAGCCAAAGCTTCGGGGGACCAAGTCTCGGTGAGCTGTTGAAGAACGAGGACTCTTGCCCCAAATTAGAACCCTCACTCGTTGCTAGCGCCGACTATAGGAGAGGTACTTACATGCGTTATACCTTCGTCATCACTCCCAACCATGCGGTGCAGCTCAGGACATGACTTCAGTGCAAATGCCTGAATTGCATGAAACCGCGCATGGTGTTGGTCGACAAGTGGACATATTGTGACCTTCCCGGCATCTTCTTCACTACTCTCATCCTCAAATCCCGCCATCGAGAACAAGTCGACAGCATGCTTGTGAACAGTAGGGTCCGGTGCTGTCACTTCTGAAACATTGTGTGCGCGGCGAGGCTTGTGCTTGAACCAGCTTTTCTGCCAGTCAACCGACCCCAACATTTCTGAGCCAGCCTCGGTCGGGATATAATGTCCTGGTATGTGTTCGGTCTGGGCCGAGGAATGGGATACAAGGTCCGAGCCAGAACATCCAGCTTCATCACTCAAAGGGGTTGGCGGCCCGTCGAAACCGGACCCAATTGGTGACTGGGAGCGATGATTATGATGCTTTACATGATCTGAAGCAAGAGACCATATATTAAGTTCGGGCTCTTTAGGCGGTATTCCACGGGTTCGGTCGCGGGCAATACCAGGCGAAACCATTATCGACCGCCGTGGGCTGTCATCCATGGGAGGATTGGCAGAGGTGCGGGCAGCCTCAGCCTGGCCTTGCAGCATTTTCACTGCCGCAATACCGGATATTGAAGCTCCAGTATAGGAGTCTGCGAAACCGAATACCATGGATTCAGAGGTAGTGTGGCCCCTTCGTTGCCGTACCTCGTACTGGCTCGGGTGGTCGATGTACTCAACCGGATTCTCCCAAACTCCAGATAGCCATACCGAGACCTCTGCACTCGGCTCCCCATGCTTCTAGCAAACTGCACAGTTTCCCCCGAGGCTATCATGCGCATCTGCAGGCGAGGTATTGGGGGGTGGACATGTTGCGTCTGACGTGCCAGAGGATCGACAGTTTTGGCGGGCTTGCGAAGAGGGACGCCTCGCATTTCGGTCTGTAAATTGTTGCGAGGACAGCCTTTGACCACCAAGCGGCCCTTTAAATAAGCGAGATTTATTCTCTGACGAGGCCGCCCTTAAGCTCGGCAGTCGTGATAAAGGAGGCCTGGTGGGTTGTACCTCATATGGGAGCGAGGTGCTGCACTGACTATGGAGATTGCCCAGCTTATCATCGCTATCTAGAGAGTCAGGCGCGAACCACCTGTCAAGTTTGGATGAGGACTCTTCATGGCTCGTTTTGCTCGTTGTTCTCCTCGGATTGCTGATGCTGGGGTGGCCCTGCATGCTGCGGGAGTAGAGGTTTGCGTTCGCCCACAGCTTTGCCCTCGAAGCACTTCTTGATAGATTTGAATAACTTGGATATTTTTCTATTGATGTAGAAAAAGAATACTTTAAGAGCCCAGCGAGCACGGGTGATAGGTGACACCATTGCGTGCCGTGTAAGAGAGGGGAGCCAATAGGATGATAGATGTAGGAGAAGCTGAACAGACGACCAAGGAGTTGGCGGAAGTTTACAAGAACGAGACAGGGAGTGGAGCGTACTCGAGCATAGGCAATGAATCAAAAACCCTTTCCCATGGGTCCAAGTATATATCTGGATAGAGGGAAAGCCCGCCTCGACCCAAAGCTCTAAGCGGCTTCCAGAGTCAAAGGCTTACATCATGTCTAGGCGCAGCTTCCCATCCTGGGGCTGGGAGTTGGGAGAACATTCACGGCACCAAGTGGAGACACAGAGGAATCATGGTGCATCCACGCGTCTAGAGCATGTCGTTAGAAAAGACAAAAGCATTTGCATGAATAAGGCCTTAAAATTGATGTTCAATTGAGGTCATTTCATCGTGCTCTCCTGGTGAAGGACGTTATTGACAGCCATTGCCGGGCCGGGACCAAAGCGCTCAGATAGGCGCCGAAGTCGGGGTGTGTTACGTTGCGAACGATCCGGTAATAACCATTTCCCAACTTGGGTCGTCACCCCCGTTGGATTGGACCTCGGCCCCGCACTGTAACCAGCTACCTACTTGTAGGAACCACTCGGACGTTATATTCGCCATGGGGCTCCCTCATTTCAGCCTCATTTCCCCAGATTCCAGGTATTCGGATCCGCGGCCATGTTCCGACCCATGATGCGAAGGTCCTGGAGGCCATTGGCCACCGCCTTGAAGCCCAGTCTGGCCTCGCGAAGCTATGCCTCCGCCGGCGGCCCTGCCTTTGAGTGGCAGGACCCCCTCAACAGCAAAGCGCTCCTGACCGAGGAAGAGTTGGCAATCTCGGAGACGGCAGAGAGATACTGCCAGGAGAGGATGCTGCCCCGCGTGCTCCGTGAGTATCCCCCTTGACTCCACCGGTCGCCATGGCTCGTTCGCGCGACTAACAAGGCTTGCATGACAGAGGCCTACCGTGACGAGAACTACGATGCCGCGATACTTTCCGAGATGGGCGAGCTCGGCCTGCTTGGTGCCAACTTGGAGGGCTACGGGTGTGCGGGTGTCAGTACTGTGGCTTCGGGCCTGATCACGCGAGCGGTCGAGCGTGTGGACAGCGGCTATAGGTCTGGCATGTCGGTGCAGTCTTCTCTGGTAATGGGCGGCATACATACATTTGGCACGGCCGAGCAGAAGGACAAGTTCCTCCCGGGAATGGCCAAGGGCAAGCTCCTCGGCGCCTTTGGATTGACCGAGCCCAACCACGGCAGCGACCCTGGCTCCATGGAGACCACAGCGCGTCCACATCCGTCCAAGAAGGGCTATCTTTTGCTCAGTGGAGCCAAGACCTGGATCACGAACAGTCCAATCGCGGACGTTTTCATGATTTGGGCAAAACTGCAGGAAACAGGCAAGATCAAGGGGTTCTTGGTGGAGCGCAAAGACTGCCCCCCAGGAACGCTGGAGACGCCGGCCATCAAGAACAAGAACGGCCTCCGTGCGAGCATCACGGGCATGATCCAGCTCGACGATTGCCCCGTCCCCGAGGCGAACATGTTCCCCGACGTGGAAGGCCTCACCGGCCCCTTCACGTGTCTGAACAGTGCACGCTATGGTATCGCATTCGGCACCATGGGCGCACTAGAGGATTGCATTGAACGCGCCAGGACGTACGCTCTCGAGCGAAAGCAGTTCAAGAACAACCCCATCGCCAAGTACCAGCTGGTCCAGAAGAAGCTTGCGGACGCCGTGACCGACGCCGCGTTTGGCACGCTGGCGGCAATCCAGGTGGGAAGGCTAAAGGACGAGGGCAAGGCCACGCCGGAGATGATCTCGATGATCAAGAGGCAGAACTGCGACCGGGCGCTGGTTCACGCGAGAACGCTGCAGGAGGTGTTTGGCGGCAACGCCGTCAGTGATGAGTACGGCATCGGACGCCATGTGGCCAACCTGTTTGTCACCCAGACCTACGAGGGGCAGAGCGACATTCACAGTGAGTATTCCGCCTCTGCACACATCCTCTACGAAATCAGCTGCTGACTACTTGTTACCAGGTCTAATCCTAGGCCGCGCCATCACCGGCCTTCAGGCATTTGTATGATATCCGATCGTGCCCAATCTAGCACCCAATCGGACGTGATGTAATTGAATACTCGATGCCAACCTGCGTTTTGAAATGTGTGTATAAAAGAAACCTAACATCTCCGTGGATATGTCTTTAGTGTGACAATGTAGCTCATCCTTGCCCAGGTGGTGTTTATATGTAATAGAACGCGATTGTTTGAGGCAGTAAGGCAGTACTTTCCAAGGTAAAGATGATTAATACACAGTCATTGGTTACTTGACTGATCAGTCAGCTTTATAAAGCTGGCTTCGGGCCCACGCAGGGGTTTGGATATTTGATTATTCATTACTCGTTCATGAGGCGAATTCGAGTCGGGTTCCAGGTTGTAGGGCGGGCTGTACCGGATCCCCTTTTAGCGCCCAAAGGTCAGCATGAGTGTGGCGGTGTTTGGCCCAAAGAGTGGCAGTTGGTCTAGGTACTTGGATCTTTGCCTGCTATTGGCAGCAGAGACAGACTTGCCATTGCCGCCTGATCTGGTAATCCAATCTTGGGCTGGTCAGTGAATCCATCAGAATCAGGCATATGTACAGTCATCCGGATCCAGTGAGAGCGATTCCATGGAGAGGGCTAGGAATCGAGTCGTTTGGACTCGGTTGCAGAGTAACCTGCAAGTGGAACCCTGAGTTCAGCTGCTGCGCTGCATGACTGACCTGAAAAAAGCCACAAAGCCTGGCATTCGTTTGCCGTGGGCCTCCGCCAGGCGCTCGGGCGACAGTTGAGACGGGCAGGGCCTGCAGGGGCTGGTGGTGGTGGTGGTGGTGGTGGTGTTGTTAGTTGACTATTGGTCCTTGGTTGCACTGTGGTGCCTCCAGCTGGCGGCCTGGGACGGGAGAAAGGCAAGGTGTTATTTACAGTACGCAGTCCCTCTAATTGCGTCTCCCTAGAGGGGGGGGGGCAGCCAACCAGCCAACCTTGAACCCACTGAGCATTCCAGGTTGGGCACTGGTGACCACTGCAGGAGGTGGTCCGGTCCCCTGGGGCAGTCACAGCGGCGCCTGGCCGAACGTTTCTCCCCCCGTTCCTTGGTGCCTTGGTTCCTTGGTTC